ATAGATAGATAGATAGATAGATAGATAGATAGATAGATAGATAGATAGAAATATATATTAATAAAAGGACAGAAAATCATATCGTATCATATTGGACATAAGAACACAGACAGCGCATTGATGTCTTTGTTCCCCGTGCTAAAAATACGCCCCGAGATAAATAAATAACTATACAAAGAAAGAAAGAAATGGGGAAAAAAAAAAACTCCTTGCATTGATTGCGCTGACGGGGAGAAGGATGGCGGTGACCCACTTTGTATCGCCTTTCCTCACTTGGGAAATGGCGAGCGGGAAGGAAAACGAGGCATCGGGAAGTGTACAATTGTCTCGACAACAGAATGTTGGACATTTAAAAAAAAAAAAAAACAATTTTGCGCACCTGAAATGATTGTCAACACACACACGCACACACACACACACACACACACGCAATCACACACACATGCAAACATGCACGCGCACACACGCACATGCATTTGAGTCATGGCGGAGCCTTGTGACCTCATCCTCAGGCCTCCGTCCTGCACACCATCTGCACCGTTGGCTCTCTGCTTCCCAGCCCTGAGCACACACTGTTACAGACACACACACACACACACACACACACACACACACACACACACACACACACACACACACACACACACACACACACACACATACGTGTATGTGCACATATGCAGAAATAAAATCTGTGAAATCTGCATGCACGGAGCAGCAAAAATCCACCCGACTGACTGATGTCAGGAGCCAAACAATGACACACATCCGAGTGGACACAGCTGGCGTGTACACATGATGGATGGATGGACAGTTAGATAGAGAGATAGGCAGGCAGACAGCTAGCTCGCTTGCTAGCTAGACAGAGGGACAGACAGCTAAGCTAGCTAGCTAGATATAGATAGCGTTTATTTATTTATGATTATTTTACTTTTGATTTGTACTGATCTGTAATTGTTTTATATTATTTTTCGGAATGTAATCGTTTTGTATGAAAAATTGCAATCACAATAATTCTTCCCTCGCTTCCAATTTACATGCAAATAAAATTAATAAGGAAAAGTCATTTGAAAATTTTCATCTCAAAACAAAAACCTAACCACAAAATACACGTAACAATCAAAGCAAATACAATTGTCAAGTTGCATATATCTTTCAACAGCAAAAGGCGAGATAAACAATGACTCAAGAGCCAATCTTCACAAGTTAAGAAGTCGTTCCGTTTTATTCAACAAGATAATTATTTTCACACATCAACACAGATAGAAAATATAGCCCGCCAAAAAAAAAAGGGCCAAAGAGATCAATAACGAAGATTAAGGACGTTGTTTTTTTTTTTTTTTAACACTCAAAAATGAGATTTACGATACTCAAAAGCACTAAAAAAAATGCAGCAATGGCTTGTTAAATAAGGTAAGGGTGAAGACCTGAAGAAAAACACACACGCTACACTAAATGAGGCGCTCTCGTGAGAATTTAGTAGGAAATAGTACAAAAAGTTTAGCACTGTATTATGTTCGAACCGGACAATTTTGCAGCAAGGTGACTGTCGCACAAACCACAAAAAAAAAAAAAAATCAACAAAATGCAAAATTTGAACATGAAAATGCTAATTTTTTTTCCATAAAAAGAAAAATAAATTATTTTACGTGGTATATTAACATATTTAGGTTGAAGTCTTATTAGTTTCTTTAAAATAATTTAATTAAAAAAAACAAAAAAAAAAATAACAACAACAACAAAACAAAAAGACTTTTCCCCCAAACCTGCTTGTTTTCCGCGATGTGCAATTTTTGTGCAAAATCCTACTAAAAAAAACCCCAGCGGGAACAGACTCATGCGTAACGCCGTACAAGACCCATTTTTACAAAATAGCTTCAGGGGATCGTTAAAAAAATGTTTTTGTGTCCGCTGTTTATGAAAATATCCCCGAAAAATAAAGCACTTGTTGATGGATGTTGGATGAAACAATTTGGACAAAGTAAGCTAAAAAGTTAACTTTATACAACAAAGTTGAAACGCAGAGAGTCGACGATTAATCGTTATTTTCTAGATAATGTATTACCACGATATACTGGAAAGGGATGAAATTATTTCACTTTTGAATTGAAATTCACTTTTTGATTTTAACCTTATTGTTCATTCATTAGGCTTTACATTGACTTTATCGTTTTGTTTTGTTTTTGGCACCACTTTCGAATAAAAGCAGTTACAGTTCATGATGTTTTCATGGTATAACTACAATGATCAAGATTTGCCGGACATATATATATATATATATATATATATATATATATATATTTTGGCCTCAAAATATGCCCGATTTTTAGTGTGATACGTTTGTGTGCATGAAAGTCTGGACAGATACTGAATGAAGTGGACTAATCCGGATGAGTTCTGAGTAGTTTTGCCCTGATCGATGAAATGACAGAACTCCCCAGTCCAGTGACCTGAATTATGCTCGTCAAAATAAGTGTGGTGACTGCCGTTGCGCTCACACTTGCAATTTAGTTCTGTGGTCTGGAATTGAGGTTTCGAGTTCAGATTAGCGATGTCGGGAGGGGGGGGGGGGTCATGGTGGTGTTAGATTATGATTATGCGTGTATGTTTCAAATCTAAGGATTAGGGTGTAGGGTTCAGGTTAGGATTTAGCGTTAAGTCGCGCATTGGGTTTAAGGTTACAATTTTAGTTAAGAGGTGGAGGTTTGAGGGTTTGGGATTTGGGTGTAAAATAAGACCTAGGTTTAGGGTTGCAGAGAAGGGTTCAAGGCTTTGGGGGTTTTGATTGGGCTTTGGGTTAGATCTAAAGGCGATTGTCAGGGTTTGGGTTACGGTAAAGGGTTTTGGAGTTCAGGGTTCAGCATTGGGTTGAGGTTAATATTGAAAGGTTAGGGCGAGAGTTGCATTTGGGCTTACAGTTAGGGATTTAGGGTGACAAGTTTAGTAGGTTAGGACTGGGTTGGAGTTAGTAGGTTGAGGTTACTAGGTTAGCTCGAGTGTCAGGTTTAGGAGTTGGGGTTGAAGATGTTGGGGTTTGGGTTGAAGAGTTTTGTTTAAGGTAGAAGTTACGGTGAAAGTTTTGAGGTTTAGGGTTCGGGGCGAGGGTTGAGGATTGGACTGATCAATCTGGATTTAGTTGATATGGTTAGGGTCTTGGGTTAGCCTTATCTTAACTGGATTCAGATGATAGCATTCACACTTGGCCAAAGAATTTGGACGGTCACATAGCCCCAAGACCCTCTAACATAAGACTCAAAGACCAGGAGCCGAGGCAAGAGAAGCTAGTTGGTTGCATCCAGTCAGCAAGGTGGTTGGTGTGAGGCCATAAACCATTCCGGTGACACGCGCTTGGGATTTGCAGCTTTCGTCCTCTTCCTCGCACCCACATTAGCATGGCTCAAGCTTGACTGTTTGAGTGAGACGACTCCCCAGAAGGATCCACGCTTGGAAGTTAGAGATCCACAAGAACAACTTGTTACAGGGAGCAAACAAAAGCTGGCAGCCAACAAACAGCTGCAGCCGTCTTTAGGAACGCTGGCATTGCCCGCGGTTGTTTTGTTTTCCTTCGCCCTCTCAGAGGAAAACAGATTGAGCAAATCTGAGGCCTTTCGAAGCCCTATCTCCTCTTTCCGCTGCAGATGATTTTCCCTCCCTGGCGGCGAACAGGCGGGAATTCTTGTTCTTGGTTTTTTTGATCTCTTTTCTCGTCTTCTGACAGCTGTCGGACGCTTTAGCCAAAGTGTTCCCATGGATTTGAATTGAAGATGCCCTCCTGGATCGGCAGTCCTTTAAAAAAAAACAGTCCTCCCAGTCCTCGAAATACAAGTCGTCCAATATAGCAGCGGTTCCCAATCAGCACTGCATTGGCCATTTGGTACCAGGCGAAACTGAGAACCTGAGCAAAAAAAAACTTTTTGGAGCATCAGGTAGAAAGAACCTCTTGTCTCAGTCACGCAATTTATGAAAAAAGTCAATCCGCAACCGATCAAAAATCCATCCAATACAAATGTCTTTGAAGAGCTTCTACGGAAGGACCAAATGATGAGACAGGAGAAGATCCGACAATTTCCAAGAAAGGAAAGCTGCTTTTAAAGCGCCTATCCCACTGAGCCGCGAACATTTGCGAATATTTGCGCAGGCAGCAAAAGTTCAATTCTCATCGGGGTTCGTTCAAGGTCGCAAATGATCGTCAAGACGTTCACCTGAACTTGTCGCAAGGGAACTTTGGTCAAACTTTCCTTGCGACAAGAAAAAACATCGAAATCGTCGGCAAACATCTGATGCTCGTTTGCCGGACGGTTCGCGAACCTTTGCTCCCTTGAAGGAACCCTGACGGCAAAGCGCATTTTCCCAACAGTCGCAAATGTTTTCCGATCGGTGCGTTCGGGGCTTCAGAGACAATATCGGGCAAGGTTCATTCATAGAAGATCATCCTAACCCCGAAAAATGGGTATTGTGATTTTCTTGCCGGCAACTGAAACAAAGGGACTGAGCAGACTGAACTCAAGGAAAACACTTTCAGTGTCATTGTGTCACGACCCCAAGATGCGACTCGGTAATTGGTTTGAATGGCATTTCTAAATGTTGACTTTGACTTGTATTTGTTTCTACGCTGATCTTTCAAAATATCGCTTGACGTGAAACCCTCCCATGGCGCAATCACGATTCGGGACCGCTGCACTATAGCATCCGCTCGTTCTGGAGTGCCTTGTAGTAGTGCTCCTGCTCAGCATGGCTGCGAGCCGACACGGAGGGCCGGCGGGGCAGCGTGGACGAGCGGGACAGCATCTGGTCGTCCATCAGCAGGTCGGGGTGGGGCGGAGGGGGGAGCATGGCTGAGCACGAGGGGTGGGGAGGCGGCGGCTGCGGCACGGAAGAGGCCGGCAGCGGAGGAGGGGGCAAGGGGGATGAGGAGCTTTGCGGTGACGCCTGAGAAGGTGGGTGAGACAGGAGAGACGTGTGAGGGGGTGGCGGCGGGAGATGGGGCGACGACAGCTGCGGCGGGGGCGGGAGCTCCGGAGTTTCGCCACCCTGCGACTCCTTTTTCACCGGGAGCGTCCGGTAGTCACGGTACAGTGGGGCGTGGTCCTGCCCTCGCAGCACGCCGCGGTGCTTCTCCAACGCCGCCGCGTCGCCCGCCATCATGTTGCCGCTGATGGTGTTCCTCCACTCCCACGGCTTCCCGTTGGACGCCGTCACCCGCACCACCGGGTGGTGGGGGGCGTGGGCGTCGATGGTGACGATGCTGCCGCTGCCAGCGATGCTGCCCGGGTTGCTGCCCATGCAGCTGTCCCGGTCGGAGGGGATGCGGTAGTAGGGCGACTCGGAGCAGTTGGAGCCGCCGCCGGAGGAGGAGCCGCCGCCCTCCACGGAGGAGCCGCCGTGGCTTAGTTGCTTGGACATCGCCATCACCTGCGAGGGGCGAGTAAATGTCAGGAAGGAGAACACGAGTCGATACGTTGGTTTTCGAGTCATCTGGAGTCTATCCCAGAAGGATTTGAGTGGGTCGGGTACACCTCGGACTTGTCAGCAGTCATTCGCAGGACACTTCACATTACATCTGGGTACAATTTATACACACAAGCACACCGTGAAAAAACAACACCTCCGAGAAAAGTTTGAACTAAGAATCTAACCATTTGGGCAACAGGCAGACCACACCCTGGGCTGCTAGGCAATCACAGGCTACGTAGAGCACGTAGCCCCACGGACCAGTTTAATCCATACATCCATCCATTTTCCAAACCGTTTATCCTCACAAGGGTCGCGGGGGTTTGATGGAGCCTATCCCAGCCGTCTTCGGCCAGTAGGCAGGGGACATCCTGAACTGGTTGCCAGCCAATCGCAGGGCACGCAGAGATGAACAACCGTCCACGCTCACACTCACCCATAGGGACAATTTGGAGTGTTCAATCAGCCTGCCATGCATGTTTTTGGAATGTGGGAGGACCCGGAGAAAACCCACGCAGACACGGGGGGAACATGCAAACTCCAACCAGGAAGGTCGGTGTTGGAATCGAACCCGGTATCTCAGCACTGGAAAGTCGATGCGCTAACCGCTCGACGACCAGGCCGCGATCAGTTTAATGTCAGACAATATTTTCAGGGACCAGCCTTTTAGGTGTGACGGATAAATACAACAAAATAATATCACATGACCTGCATGAAAATTGTGGTGTTTTCGAAACATAATATTCAACACAAATCACGACACGAGAAATGTCCGATCCGGCCGCATCACTCTCTGGTCACTATGGTAACGTTTAAACCTGCCTTTAAAATAAGATACAAAGTGCATGAAAAATCTGACTCAACATCGCTGCATATTATGCAGAGTGAGATTGGTGCGTGGGAATCTCCCATTGAGATCCGTATTTTAAGTAGGAAATACTGATACTGTTTATTAAATGTCGCCTTCTTTTTCTTGAAAGTCGTCGGCTCCTCTTTTGTCTCCTGGCTGGGCCTTTTCCCCTTCCCAAAGACGCTTGTTTTTTTTACTCATTTTGCTAGCTCCCGGGTTTCTTTTTATCACGTGACCGAGAAGCGCGCCTTGACCTGCGTCAAGAGTGACATACTGTAGACGGATGTAACAGAGAATCCGATAAATAAATACAAATCAAAATACAATGTCTTTCAGATCTCAAAAAAAAATCCAACGGATGTAATGTAAGTTATTTATTCTTAGCCCGGGGGTTGCGGACCGCTGACGTAGAGACAACTAGTCATTCACATTCACACCTATGGCCACTTTTGAGTCAGGACATCTGGGGAAAACCCACATGAAGAACCACTGATGGGATTCTGATTTCGCAGCTCACCTGAGTGACTCTCGGTTGAGCGGGCGGCTGAGCAGGTTGCGCGTTGGGCACCCTGGGCGTGGATACGGCGATGGGTCCCATGCTGTGCTCCTTCGCGGCGCTCCTCTCCGCCTCGGTGAGTGAAAGCCACTTGGCGCGGGTCTTGGCGCTCTTGGGGGAGACGGGCGGCGGACGCGCGGCCTCCTCGGGGATGTGGACCAGCGGAGGAGACACAACCATCCGGCCCCCGGTGGGCGTCGCCATGCCTTTATTGGCCTGCACTTTGGGGTAGAGAGAGGACGGCACCGCCTTGTCGCCCGCCTCATCGGCCGCATCCGCCACTTCCGTCCCTTCCTCGCTCTCGTTCTCATCCCGGGAACTTTGACTCCTGAGCTCCAGAGAGCGCTGCTTCCACTCTGACACGAGCTGCCGGGATCTTTGTGGGTCCAGGGGCACATGGAAGGTCATGTGGCGCTGCGAGACGGGCGTCTCATCGGAGGGCGAGATGGGGCTGTTGCCGTTGGCCACCCGGGGCAGGGTGTTGCTGAACGTCACCATCGTCTCCTTGCCCATGGGCCCGCGGGTGGCCAGGAGCTCCACGTCGGCACTGGCTCGCTTCAGGGAGGCCAGGGAGGCTTTCTCCCGCCTCACCTTGCTGCGCGCTCCCGAAGCCATGGCCACGGCCAGCTCCTCGCGGCTCTCCGACACCCGCGGCGTCTTCCTGTAGAGGGAGTCGTGACTGCGCTGACTCAGCACCCTCAGGGTGTCCTTATGCGGCGTCGTCAAAGATTTGGGCTGAGGCGACGCGTCTTCTTCGGACGCTTTGAAGTTTGCCACTGCGTACACGGCCTGCGGGGGAGGGCGGGGGGGAGGATAGCAATGACATCAGGGGCGAGATCCAATATGTCCTCCTTATGGGCTTTACATTTATCACAGAGGAGTGATTGTGTTACAATGTTGTTATTGGGCTATGGGGCAGCGTTCCTTGAGCCCCATGAAATCTGCCTAGCAACATGAAACTAAGCATTTCGGTTGTTGTCATTTTTTTTGAATTGCTACTTAAGATTTTGTGCAATTTTTTTTTTTTTTTCACGGAGAGTTGTAATTTTCATTTTTCTCATCCAGTATTAAAACTGATTTTCTTTATTTACATATTCCTCTTATTGGGTCTGATTAGTATTGATCCTGATGAAAAAAAAGGACACCTCTTTATTTGTTGATATATATATATTTTTTTTTTACAGAACAGAAAAATACAAACCGTCCATCCATCCATCATCTTAACCCCTAATCCTGCGCTCACACTCATGCCTATGGACAATTTCGAGTGTTCCAATATGGACCAAATGGGACTTTTGTAAAGTAAAATGACAAAAAAGAAGCAATAAAGAAGAAAAAAACCCAAATGTATTAGTTGGCTGTGAAATAATGTTTCACCTTTTTCGAGAAATTTTATCTATGTTTTGAAATACTTTTCTTTTTTTTGTTTTGAGAAAAAAAGAGATAAAACGAATTAAGTGAAAAGTTCCCCTGCCTCACAACGTGAAGGACAAGAGGGAAAATCCGCAGCGACTCCTTTTTTTCTTCTCCTCCTTCTCTTTCTCCTCCCTAAACTCGAGTGTGAAATTGCTGCGGCGAATTCTTATCCGATTACCGCTTCTCTCTCTGTCGCTCTCGCAATAAGGAAGGCTAAATATAGCTCGCCGGGAGAGAAAAACAAAGAGGAGGTGACGAATAAAAGAGTTTGTGTTGGCGCGCACAATAGGACAAAATGCAAGTAAAAGCACTTCATTGGAAGAGATGGCGTCCTTCGACTCCTGCCAAATACCGGCTCGCCGTTCACCCTCAATATCTTGATGACGTGCAATGCAAGCTGCATGTCACAACTAGAAATGGAGACAACCGCAATGTACGTTTTGATTTTTTTCATGATTATTATTCTTGTTATTTTTGCTGCAGGTCTCGTAATGGCAAAAACGGCACGAGCAATTTTTTTTAACAAATAATAGATCGTGAATGCAACTTCTGTAGAAAGTGCATGCGAATGCTGAAGCTCCGAGGCAGTTTCAGAAAATCAACAAATGTCTTTTTTTTTCTTTTTTGGGGTGGAAAAAATAACTTGGGATACATGTAGGCGTTAGAGAAAAAAAAAAAAAAACAATTGGTGATCAATTTAGAAATCTTCAGAAAGTTGCAAATAGGTCAGTTTCGTTAGACAGAAAAGAACAATTTGCAACCAGCCGAGGATGCGAGTAGGCCATTCGACAAGAGGAAGGGCTGCGCCGCTGTGGGAGTGGTGACAGGCATCTTTAATCATGGCGAAATTAGCGTGGAAAACTGTAAACAGAGCCTATTGTGTCAAAGTGGATGTCACGCGAGGTTGCGTGGTCGAATGATTTCCGCACCGACTGACCAGGTAGACGCCGATGCCGGCTCCGATCAGGTAGCCCACGTAGACGTCGATGGGGTGGCTTCGGTGCTGGGTGATCTGCGTGAGGCCGGCCAGGCCCGCCGCCATGCAGAAGGCGAACACCAACAGCGGCTTGAGCAACTTTGTGGTGGCGCCGATGCTAGCGTTGAAGTACATCTGAGGGCACACGCATAATAATCATAATACACATAACATGGAAGTGAATTAAAAAACAATCCAAAAAGAAAATAAGTGCAGATGTCTAAACAAAATAAATACAGCTACATGTTAATCATATTTTTAAAAAATGAACTCAAATCAATAAATATCCATAATCAAAGCTAAAATGAACAAAATAATACAAATGAATGAGATTAATTAAATGAATAAAAAGAAATAAAAATGGCAAATATATCAGAAAATATGACAGCTGAGCTTAAAAGAATAGTGGATTGAATACAAGTGAATAAATGACTAAGTACAAATAATAAAAATAAAAATAAATGTCAAAGGTCAGAAATAAAATAAATACAACTAAAATATAGTAAAAATAAACAAAAAAATAAGAATAGTAAAATCAAATAAAATACAGAAAACCATCATGTGATATTAAAAATGAATAAAGTAATTATTATCAATAAAAAAAAAAGATTCACTTAGTTTTATATTGAGTACTCAAGTCAGGTAGTCTGTATTCACGCAATTAGATAAAATGACTTGAGTATTTGTCTGCCATTTAAAAAGCAACAAAAATAGATGCGAGTAATTACTTCAGCGACATCAACAAAAGGCAAACCAAGAATGAAGTCAACCTGTTGCGTACTGCGTTGCAAAAATGTTTGTGCTGCCGACAAGTCAAAATGCAATCCAAAATATGTCCAAAGATTTCGCTTTGAAGTTGAAAAATATCCATGCAAGTGTTTGCCGTTGCGTCAACACTTTGGGAATCCAGCACTGGAACGCAAATGGTTTATTGACTGGAAAAATGCCGACTTTGCACAAAGTTAAGGATGCCTTTTCAGCACTTTTGCAACACAGCAGTCACAACAAAATCCTCCAGAATGATTATTTGTTTTTTGCCGCCCAGTTTGATCAAAATATCAACAACGCCTTACCAAATGAAAACACGCTCCATCGAATTCCTCATGTGTTGCAAATTAAATAAAAGTAGAAGGAAAGTCTTAAAAAAAAGAATGCTTACGGAAATGTAGACAGCGGCAAAGCCGGAAAGTGTTGCATGCTGGGATGGGAATGTTTTCCTGCAAAGAGCAAAAATAAAAAAAGAAAAAAAAAAAGAGAAAGAAAGAACAGGTTTGTACAACACAAGTCAAACATGTCATCGGGATTGTTGAATGCAGCGTAATAAGGGCGCTGCACATTTTCAGCAGGATCGGATTAGCCCGCTATTGGCTGCATTAGCAATAATCTCCATTGTTGTGTTGGAGCGTTGCGCAGGAAGCAGTCGAGGGAATCCGTTGTTGAAAATACACGTTTAGTTTTCCGTCTTCCTACCGTGACGAAATGAATCAGGTGACAGCATAACGTTATGGAGGTATTGCAAGAATATGGAGGAGTCGTTTTGATTTTGTTGTGAAATATAATTTTTTTAATATGTAGGCCATTTGAAAACATGGAGCTATATGCACAGTATACATTACAAATTTGAGTTGATTTTTGTAGGGGGGGGGGATGACACACAAAAAGAGTTCTTGCACTAAATGGTGGTTTGCTGTTCAACAGTTTGTGCCGCCCTTGAATGATCATTTTTATGCACAAACTCACACCAAATGGTTGTTTTGTACTTTTTCAAACCCTTTGTTGTTGAAAGCTGGATCTTTTATACATGCATTGAGAAATATTTTCGGAAAAAAAAAAAAGGAATTATGATATTATTTGTGCACGTCTGCTCACATTTGGACCGTTTTTAAAATGGCGATTTTTGTCGTCCAGCCGGTAAGGAAGTGCGTGGCCCGCGTGATTGTCGTCCTACCTCGCCGACATGATGGCGTACTGGTCTTTGCCCATGCAGATGTCCTGCGTGACGTAGGCGTTGTTATCGCAGGCCACGCCCGGCGCCGTGTAATTGGGCTGGCAGACGGTGAGGAAGAAGGGGGCGTGGTAGCCGGTGGCCAGCTGGATGACATCTGTCACCAGCGCCGTTGCTAGGAGACCAAACACGTGAACACCTGAACGGAAGAAAGGGAAGGAGGAAGGAGGCGGGCATGAAGGTCAGCTCTAACTTCCAAAGGGTTTTAAGTTAAAAAAAAAAAACAAACAAAAAAAACCCGACAAAGTGCCTTGTGCGGTTTCACCACCTGAACACACAAACAAAAGCAAACAAGTGGAGCGATTCAATTTGCACTCCAAAAGCGTCAAAGTGGGCCTGCAGATATTTACCATCGCATCACGCCTCTTTAGCACTTGGTCACCCTTCATTTAACACGTCTAATTAGTTCATTAGCCGACTCCCCCAAAAACAGGTTAAGTGAGCATCCTCGACTGGTTTGCAAAGAAGTTCGACTGTACACAGCATATCATCGCTCTCCTGTGAAAAACATGTATGTCCATTTTATTTATTTATTTTTTTTAAATGTTTACATTTAATGGGGTGTCCACATTGCGGACAAACCAAAGAAATGTGTCAGGCGATGGCTTACTGACCCACAAAGCGCACGGTCCTGCGCAGGAAGGAGTTGAAGCTGCACCCGCCGGCGTTGATGCTGCTCTCCGTCTTCGGACAGGTCTTGAGTTTGGACTGCATGCAGTACATGAGGCCCTCCCCCATCATGATCTGTGGACAAAAGCCAGGGAGTGATGAAAAAAAAAACGAAAAAAAAAACCTAGGGCTGATGGAGAACGTAGACTAAAACACTATTGATGTTGCTGATCGCTTCCAATCAAGGTGATAGATGACTTTGCTGCTTCTTTTCATGCTGCTGGTGGATTAGCAGAATGTGTCACTAAAATATTGCGCCTGTTAGTAATAGGGTAAAAGTGTGTGTGTGTGTGTGTGTGTGTGTGTGTGTGTGTGTGTGCTTTGCCTGAGGAGGCCTGCGGTGTGTGCCAAAGTGCAACAAGGGTGTATTCGGCAATGCCGTCCAGTGATTGTATAATTCTCGTAGAGGAGATTGAATCGTTGTCTTTGCGCACATTCGTGATCATCACCAACGGTTGTATTGTTGATGTCCCGTTTCTCATTCCACTTTCGAACGGGGACGTGAGCATGCTAGCATAGGGCAAAAGGTCATGCCAAACTAGAGTGAGAATAAAAGTACAACGTGTGGGTACTGAGCAGGCCATGGCAGAAAATCGCGAAAAAAACCAAAAACTGAAAAATACGATATCCGATCACCGAGCCGACCAGAAGATGGGCCAGTCAACTTGTTTATGTCCTGTAGAGTCAGACTCCACTATTTGCGGGTATTTAGGTCCAGCCCGGCCAACGATTAGCCAGAATTTGCGTAGAATTGACGCGCGAAGCTAACTTTAGCTTCATGTTAAAGGCAAAACTGTCCTTCTGGTTTTCACTCTTCAAAAACCGAATTTTAGCTAGTAGGGGAGCTTGATAAAAAAAAAATGAAAGCGAAAATGAAAATCGTTGAAGCCAAACTCTTACCGACGCGGCGGGTCCAGCGAACGCCAGGCTGAGCAGCATGAGCAGTGGGATGAGCTCGTCGCCCGTCTCCACGTAGGGCATGGAGAGGTCGCGGTCGTAGCAGCGGAAGCCCACCACGGCGGGAGACAAGACGTCCGTCAGCTCCAGGAAGTACAGCGACACCAAGGACGACAGCACGATGGGGAGCTGCGCCGCACGAGCAAAGGGACTTGGCTGACGCGCTTGAATTGTTTCGCCACGACGACATTAAAAAAAAAGCCCAACGGTGATTCATTGAAGCGCGAGCGCACGGACGTTACCTCCACAAAGTAAAAACATGGCAGCAGGGTCATGCTGTCTTTGGGGGGTTTCTTCTTGGTTCGGTTTTTGGGGGACGTCATCTTGGGGTGGGACCACTCGCAAGCTGGTTGGGACAGGACATGTCGGGAAGTGTTAGTCGTGCATGGAAAGCGTTTGTTTCGTGTCGCTGCTTTTGAACGGTAGAACGTACACACGTCGACTGAACAGACAGAAACAGCTGAACAGAGAAATGGAAGCAAACATCGACGAATATCTCCTTTCTCGTCTTTCCCGATGCTCCCTTTCCAATTGTCTCTTTCGCTATGATCCCTTTCTTAATGTCTCCTTCCCAACAGAGCTTTCCTTAATGTGCCTTCTCGGAGTTTCCTTTCCCAATGTCTCCTTGCCTACAATCTCGTCGCTTATTATCCCTTTCTGAATATCTGATTCCTTCAGATGCCTCATGTCAGAATCCTTTTCCTAATGTCAACATCTCCAAAATGTCTTTCCTAATGTTTCCTTCCCAACGGTCACTTTCCGAAAGTCTTCTTCCCTTACAGAGCCTTCCTTGATGACTCCGAGTTGCCTTTCCTAACGTTTCCTCCAATACAATCTCGCTCCTATTGTTTTATTGCTTTTCATGCCTTTCCTGGTGCCTCATTCCTGAAGATGCCTGATAGCACCTTGGCTTCAATCCCTTTCCTAAAGGTTCCTTCCTTAAGATCTCTTTCCTAATGTCTCCTTACCTGGGTATGCCGAGTATGTCTCATCACTTAAGATGCCAAATGTCATCGTCCCTTTGCTCCCTTTCGTCGTGCCTCATTCCTTAAGATGCCTGATAGCACCTTGGCTTCGATCCCTTTCCTAAAGCTTCCTTCCTGAAGACCTCTTTCCTAATGTCTCCTTACCTGGGTATGCTGAGTATGTCTCATCACTTAAGATGCCAAATGTCATCGTCCCTTTGCTCCCTTTCCTCGTGCCTCATTCCTTAAGATGCCTGATAGCACCTTGGCTTCGATCCCTTTCCTAAAGTCTCCTTCCCTAAGATCTCTTTCCTAATGTCTCCTTACTTGGGTATGGTGAGTGTGTCTCATCACTTAAGATGCCAAATGTCGTCGTCCCTTTGCTCCCTCTCCTAACGACTCCTTTCCTTCGATCTCCGAATGTCGTTTTCCCTTTGGTGCCTTTCCTAACGTCTCCGGTCCTATGATCTCATTCTTCATGTCTCCTTCCCGACAGGAGATTTCCTAATGTCTGCTCCTGTACGATCTGGTTTCTAATGTTTCTTTCCTTGCTATCCTTTTCCTCATGTCTCTTTCCTCTGTTGCGCTGTCGCTTTTTCCTTTCCTAGTGTTTCCTACAATCTCTTTCCCAATGTTTCGTTCTCAACAATCTGTGTTATGAATGCCTCCTTAGCTGTGATCCCTTTTCCTAATGTCTCCTTCCCATTGATCCTTCGACAGTTTTTCCTTCCCAAAAATGTCATTCAAATATCTCCTTCCCCGCCCTTCCCGAAGCTCCCTTTCTTAACGTCTCTTTCCTTATGAGCCCTTTCCTAATGTCTCCTTTCCCCTAATTCCTACATAAACACGATGTTCTGGTTGCATTCCAGATAAACAATTTAAAAAAAAAATTAACAAAATGATGTGTCATTCCTTCTGATTGCCTATGCCAAGTATTTTATTTCCCCCCCTTCGTGGTACTTGATAAAAAAAACAAAACTGCAGCTCTCCATCCTTCTCTGACGTCGGGATGGATGGATGGTCTCCAGTGTGGCGGAAAAGCTGCTTAGGAGGAGCCGAGCCCCCTCCCCAGCGTCATCTCAGTGACCTGCTCTACTCACACACACACACACACACACACACACACTTAAACCTGCCCCCTCCTTTCAATCACATCTCACACACACACACGCTCCTGTCACACAATGTGCCTTTCTCGCAGAAGAGGGGCGGCTTGTTTATCTCCCAAAAAAAAACGGCATTTGTTTCTCTGAAGCACTTTGCGTGAATGTGACAGCAAAATGTCGGCCGGCCGTCTCCCGACGAGACTTCAACCTTGTGCGTGTGCGTGCACGGTGGACAAAATCACAGTATGTCACTGTACCAGACAGTCCGACAGACCACCAACATGAGTGGGGGTGGGTTTATTTCCCAGACTGACATGGGAAGAATAGCATTAAAAAAAAAAAAAAAACTCCACTGAGCTGCTGAATATCACACTGGCATGGAAACAGGAGCTCAGAACAGGTGCATGAAACCTTTTCAAAAGTGACCGTTTAAATACAGTCAAAAAGTAAAGATGCTCAACATGAGTCTGTTTTAGAGTTCTTTTCCTCTTTTCTATATAATACAGAACACTTGACCCTCTGTAGGGTTGCCTCAGGCTGCAGCAAAGTTGAAGAGGAGCTTCGAAAAGGGACTTCAACTCTGCAGTCAAGTTTTCTTGGTTTCTAAGGGCAACAATGTCCATGGGTCACTTTGACCCGCTGCCTGTTCAATCATCAAGCACTTCACGGATTTCCCATTGCCTTTGATGTCAGGTTTAATTCTCGTGGTATGTTCATTTCTTCGGCACGGGCCAATATGACCCGCTCTGTGTTGAATCATCCGCAAATATAATTGAAAAAGATGCTAATTAAAAATTTCTATCCGTCAAGGACTTTAATTAGCAATTAACGTCAGGTTTTACCCTCCTGTTGTGTCTGTTTCGTAGCCTCCATCAGAAATGTTCACGTTGACCCACCTCATGTTTCATTCTCAAAATAGATTCCAAAAAACACATTTGAAAGAAAGAATAGTTTTAAATTGTCTCATTATCATTTAACCGGAAGTCAATGCTTACCTCATGTCCATACAATACATAAGCAATGTTCACGGGTCAATGTGACCCGCTGTTTAATCAGCAGATACCATTGTAAATTGTAAATAATCCCAATGCAAATTATGTTCTCATTCTGAATCCAGCAGAATAATTTTTTGTCTGATTTTACAACTTTAAAAAGGGTCATTTTGACCCGTCTGGAAACATAGTGTTTTAAAATGACTTGTATTGTTCAAATGACAATGATTTGAGCCTCACTGAAGGGCAGCTAATGAAAGGCATCACGCAAGTTGCCAGTGAGATCATCAATTATGGAATGTACACACACCCGAGCACATGCATGCACGCACGCACACACGCGCACACACACACACACACGCAAACACACGTAGTGCCGCTCACCTCTATCCCGGGGGCTCCGTGAATTCACCGAGTCCCGTCGCCCCCTTCGCCCCCGGCGTGCTCTGGCGTGCTGCTCCAGTTTGGCGGCTCTCTGCCCGTCCGTCCGTTTAATCCAGATCCATGTCCTCTACAAAAAAACCCAAATCCCAGTCGAGGTGGACGCCGAATGTTGGCTGGGATGCGAGGATGGCGTCAAAGGATGCAGATGGCGGAAAAAGTGCCCAAAATGCGGTCCGATTGTGGAGTAAAATCTTCACGTGCTTCCACCGTGGTGTTGCTGGTGCAGGCTAAGGGGTGGGGAGTGAGGGGGTGGGGGGTGGTGGGGGTCCGGATCATCCCCTTTTCCTCCTATTATCATCCAGCGGTATTCACGATATTCCTGAGAATTCCAAATCACGGGGGTGTAAAAAAAAATTATAAAATAAATTCAAGGAGGAATCTTCCGCTGAGCTTTTTTTTCCAGGCAAGCGCCCCGGTGTTCGGTTTATTCGGGTACGCAGTCACAAAGGCAAGCACAAGAAGGGGGGTGGGTGGGTAGGTGAGGGTACAAGGGGGAGGAGAGAGTGGTGCGCCGATGGTGGGGGGAGGAGACAGTCTGTTCCACACTTCTACTTCTTCTTCCATGAGACAAAAAAAGGGGTGGGGGGAGAAATCAGCGGAGTGTGCACAAGCATGGGATGAAGAGGAGGAAGACAAGCTCTCGTCAATGAAGAAGCAATGCAAGTGGATATATATATGTGTGTGTGTGTGTGTGTGTGTGTGCGTGTGCGTGCGCGCGCGCGCGCGCGCATGCCTTTGTCCACACCTGAAGGGCGTGTCCACGTTCACCACAGTGGAACACGTGGGACCCCTTTCTGCAAGAGTCATCAGGAACGGTGACGTGAAGGCCAAGTGTGTGCTTTTTTTTTTTTTTTTTTTCAAATGCAATTAAAAATTAGTTTCTGAGCGAGAGCGAGACAGAAACGGTGAACTATACATTCTGGATGGATGGATGAAAGTGGGAAACCTAAGCGCAAGTATGTCGGGGAATACTGTCGATGTTTTTTCTTAGTATTAGCACAAACACGAGCTGAACTTTTTTCATCCTTTTGGGCTGACGGTAAACAATACTGAGGAGTTGGAAACATCACTTGACAGTCATGATCAAGAGCGACTCTTAAAAAGGTTCGAGACACCCACTTGAAATTCAGACTAAGTAAATAAACCCCACCCACAAATCCAACGAAACCTTTTTGCCTCTTTGAACATTTTGGGCCACCGTACTTCATGATGATTATGAACGATGCTCAAGAATGATTCGCATCACTCTTTGTGTTTGCATCGGAGTCAACAACCGCTGTGACCAACTGGGACTCTTAACTGGGTGCTACGCCACTGGAAAACGTTCAGCAACAGAATCGCTTTGTATTTCCTGGTTCGGTTTTGAGGCAGGATTTATTAGCCAGTGTAGGTCACCCTTTTTCTGTTCCCCGCCCTCCAAAACCACCATTTAGGCCACCATACTCAGACTGCCAAACTACTGGAATGACCAACAGGGACTCTGAAATGGGATGTGACGGGGACGAAGTTGCTTCTTTTCCATCTTACGTCACTTGTTGCTAGGCAGAATTCTCTGGCCAATAGCAAAATCTGCTTATGTCACGTATTTCGCTTGTTGCTAGGCAGTTTTGTGGGGTCAAGTGTTAAGTCATGACTGCTCAAGTGGCCAGTAACAAAATTAACTCATGTCTACGCAGCCGAAGGAAATGAAAGCAAAACATTACGATGAAGGCTGAGGAGACACATTTGGTCTGTATTAAACATAAAACACAAACTCAGCACCGACTACCGATTCTTGTCAAAACACAAACGCCCAAAAAACATGCTTCTAAAAAATGGTGGCTCGCCTGTGAATCAGTGTTACAACTGGAGTGTGTGTGTGTGTGTGTGTGTGTGTGTGTGTGTGTTCCAGTTGTAACATGGAATGCTAATATGTGTACATTCCTGAATGCTTCAAGCCCCCCCCCACAAAAAAAAAACACCCCCACACTATGAATGGGGGGGTCACATTTATCCTGCTTGCGGTTGCCAAGGACTTTCTCTATGAAGGGAGAAGGGGGGGGGGGAAATGTCTGGGCTCACACACACCCTTGAAGCCCCCCCCCCCACACACACATCCACCACATCCAATAAGAGGCTATGCTTGGTCACAGCTGCTCCGAGCTAATCAACTCATCACTCCTGTTTACCTTCACAGACGGAGCACAATAGAGGCCAACATATGAGACGTGGCGGTGGTCCCAAATGCCAATCATAAGTCAAGGCCGACTTTTGCGATTGGATGTCATGAGACGGACGATGTACCTAATGAAGTGTCCGGATGTCAGAGCTGCCGTCTTTTTTCATTAAGCCTATTCCAACAGTAATTGGTTCTCTTCCTTGTGCATGTGGGGCATATATGCGTGTGTGTGTGTGTGTGGGGAGGGGGGGGCATTGGGGGATTCATAACTTTAATTAAAATGATTCAAGACAGCGGCTCACACATGTGATTCAGTTACCTTGTGGGAAGCGTTCGCATGTCGTTAGCAAGTCACCCTGAAATGTTCTGATTTCAAATACCCAATATGAAATCCAAAAGATTGGTTTTACCTGGTTTGTGTGGTCCTCACACCGTCGTAGGTCCCGTGATGTGACTGTGTAAACAAACATATGTCCCCACCAATTCAGGATTACAAGAACACACACACACACACACACACACACACACACACACACACACACACACACACACACACACACACACACACACACACACGGTTCAGAATGGCTCATGCATATTATATGATGCCTGATTTGTGGCCCCCTACACTGCAATAGGTCCCCCGTAATGTGACTTTGGAACAAACATTTCTCCCCAACCAACCGATAATCTTCACAGAATAGCTACTGCGTTCAGATTATCTGGTGCCTGATTTGTGGTCCCCAAACGGTCCCATGACTGTGTGAACATGTTTGTCCGTGAAAAGAAGTTTACCAGAAAACACAAATATGCACACACATACAAGCTTCACAGATAACGTCTGTCATCCATATTACATGTTGCCTGATTTATGGCCCCGCAAGGTACAATAAATCCCTATAATCTGACTGTGTATGTAACAAACATTTGTCCTGGCCAATTGATGAATACAAGAACACACACACACACACACACACACACACACACACACACACACACACACACACACACACACACACAATCTTCACAGAAAAGAACATCCATTCACATTATCTGGTGCCTGATTTGTGGTCTCCAAACTACAATACCTCCCCAGGATGTGATTGTGCAACCAACATTTGTCCCCCCAATTGAGGAATACAAGAACATACAGGCGCAAAACCACACCAGAAAATCTCCGATATTCATATGATTGCACGCCTGATTTGTGGTCCCCACACCACAAACGAACTGGTGTCAAGACTTGTTTGTCCCCACCAAGAGGATAACAGAACACACACTCTTCACAAATACCACTACGGCATTCACGTTATGGGTTTTGCCTGATTTGTGGTCCCCACAGCACAATATGACTGTCAACAAATGATTGTCCCCTTCAAGTGGATTTTAAAACACACCCCCAAAAAATTTCACAGACACCGCCAGAATCGTTTCTACATTTAAGAATTGGTTTATGACTGATTTGTGGTCCCCACCCAATCGGGCTCAATGATGTGACTTTGGCAACAAACATTTCAGGCTCAACACACACGCGCGGCATTGTAAGTATTGACTGACAGCACACCTCAGTGCAGCGGACACATTTGCCCCCACCGGCCGTGAATACACACCTACACACATGCACAATGATGCGATTGTCTTGCGATTGATGTCCCCTGTTTTCGGGCCACCCGGCACACTAAACAAACAACAGCACCACGTGTGTGTTCCGTCAGGACAAGCGCAACACAACAGCGACGAAGGGCCCAGTGGCGAATAATTATCTGAACGTTCAATGCCGAACGGGGCGCTAATTCACACGCACACTTGGCCTTGTTCCCGATGCACCACACACACTGCAGTCCCGTATGGGAGTAGAAATATTTGCATGATTGCAACCATGAGCAGGTGATGATTTCTGGTCACCCTCATCATATCCAGTGGCGGAATTTAATCTGGTGTTGTGCAAATGGAGCAAATACAAAGTTGAGTGCTTAAAAGTGAGATATCGTGCACCTTTCGAATGTATAGAAATGTTTATTTCAAAACATGGAATGGTCCATATCATAAAATCTCCATAAATGTGGTTACAATTTGTCCGTAATTCCATGGATGAAACGTATTTTGCGTTTCTGTATGGGCGCGCTGCTGTCGTTGAGTGCTAAAATAAGTTCTCATCCTTGTTACTTATGAGGTGGCACTGTTTTTACATGATGCCTTCGAGTGATGTCCTCGGCTCCAAACATGGTCGTGGTGGTTGTACTGGCGTAGGATTGCACATGGGAAGCAGAAAATGGACTGAAGGAATCCATAAAGACCTTCAAAGTGTCACTCTTTTTCTCCCCACCACCCCCACTTGAAAAATAGATTGCTTCACAAATGTCACTTTGCAAGGCCGCCATAGCTGCGGGAAGAAGGGCAATGGCGCTATCTAGTGGTCAAAATTCAGAATTGAATGACAAGAATGAAAGACATTTGACCGCAACGAAATATGAATATTTTTTAAATTTATGAGAAGAGAGGCATATGTTGCATTCAGGACTATGGTTCAAAATAGATATATAGTTCAAAATAAATAATATATATTGTTCGATTCAATATTTTGACTATAGGAGAAAACCATATAAAAAAAAAAAAAGAACCCAAAATTCATCCGATGTAGTTGATTTGATCATTTGTGTGGATAACGTTCATTGTAAAATGTATTTTTTATTATTAATAATATATATATATATATATATATATAGTCCTACCAATGTAAGTGAATATTGTAATATTATTTATCTTCCAGTAGTGGGAATTATTGAATCATTCTAATCGTAATATTATATTAGGTTGTGTGCTCGAGCTGGTGTGCTGTGAGTGAAAAATTTGGGCTGGTTCTAGTAGATTTTTATACTAAAACGTAGAAATGAATCTCCTGTTCATAATTTAAGATGGTTCTGTCATAATTAAGAATGCCTGTCTTCCCGCAGCGATGCACTCATTTTTCCTCCACCAGAGATCTCCTCAAATCAAGTCCCGCCCCCTGTGTGTGATTGGCTGTCTCTTGTCCTCTCCAAAGTGCTGAGAACGCGCGTCAGGCTTGCCTTCTGCCGGTCGAGGCTCAGAGTGTTCCGCGCCAACAGGACGGCGCCGGGCTGGCCGAGCCGACTTCGGTCCAAACTGGCGGAAGAAGCGGCGCGCGACTGGCCGGCCCGGTCCTCTGTCAGTGGTGGGGTGGAGCGTAGCTGGGGGGCTCGCCCTCGGTCCAGGCTGTTGATTGTGTTCAGTGGGCCGCTTCTCCCAAGCGTGAGGTTCCCGGGAATTGCCTGCTGAGGCTGGTTGTTGAGAGTCTGGCCGGTTCTGCCGGGCTGAGCAATGCTGCTCTTGTCTGTGCTGATGGTTTGGACCCGCAACCGGTCTCGCTCCCGCTCCAGGCTGGTGTCCCGGCGCAATGCCCCGCCGCGCTCCCTCTCCAGGCTGGTTTGGATCTCCGCCCTCCTGGCCAGGGCCTCCCTCAGCTGGTTGCGGAAGATCTCGATCTTTTCCTGGAGCTCCTGGAGTTCCCCTTCCCACAGGCCGGTCTGGCCGCCCCTTCCTCCCAGGGGAGAGAGTACCAAACCTGAGGACGCCAGCCCCGTGACGGGACCCCCGTTGGCTTGGAGGCTCAAATTCCCCAGGCTGGGGAGACCCAAGCCGCCGAGGCCAAGCCCGGGACGGCCCACCATGCCGGGGCGTCCGCGCACCGAGGCGGTGTGGGTTCGCAGCCGGTAGCTGTGGAGGGTGTCCAGGTCGAAGTGCACCCGCTTCTCCTTGGGCTCGTGGGACGGCGATGAGGAGCTGCCACTGTCCGCCGCCGAGCTGGAGGCCGGGAGGGATTTGGGGGGAGATGGCGGGGGAGGCTGCTGATGCTGCTTCCTGTGGAGGCTGCAGTTCTCCGAGATGCAAGAGGAGGCGCTGGTGGACAACAGGAGGAGTCCAAGTTAAAAATACGGAACATGCACTTTGCACCTGTCAACATGGCACAAGGACGGAAAGTGGACGATGATGTCATGAGGGTCTATCGAATAGGAAAGGGGTTGGCGAAGTGATTTCAGAGTGCTGACAGCAAATGAGTGCTCTGCCGCAATCTTGTAGCATCTTGATGCATGTTGATTCAATTACGTTGAAGTGAGTTGAGGGACTTCTTTTAGACAAAAAGAAGTGCGATGCTGCCATCTTGTCATATTTGCGTCAAAAGGAAATATGTTGAAGTGAGTTGAAGCGCTCCATTTAGAGAAAAGTGGTGCTTTGCCATCATCTTGTGGCATCCTGCTGCCAAGGAGCTATGTTGAAATGCACCGAGGAGTGGTGCTTTGCCATCATCTTGTGGCATCCTGCTGCTGCCATGTTGAAATGCATCGAGGCGCTTCATTTAGACAAAAGCAAAGCTCTGCCCCCATCGTGAGGCATCTTGGTGCCAACCAACTCTGTTGAAGTTAGTTGAGGAGCCGCATTGAGTGCTTAGATGCCATTTTGAGGCATCCTGGTGTCAAGGAACTACAGTGAAGTGGGTTGAGGAGCTTCTTTGAGACAAAAGGTACATTTACATCATAGTAAGAGATATTTAGTACGATTATTTGTCCATTCGGAATTATGCCGTGTCAAGTGAAACTCATGTTGAACAATCCATGAATGAGATTTCGAGGTTTCAGAATGAGGTTGAGCCTCTTACTTCTGTTCAAGGCCCGTCAGCTCTTTGCCTTCATCCTCATACGCCGTGTGGAGAGCTCGGTGAATCTTCTGGAAAATGAGGAGACAAACCAAATAAGAGAAAAATAGCAAAAACAAACCACATTATTAAAGCTTGTCTGACTCCATCATTGATTTATGGTGACAGCCTTGCTCCGCCCACACACAACGGCAACATCTCAAAATCCTTGCTGCATGCAGTTTGGCTTGCGTCCGTGCTTAACATTTGCAAACAGTCCAAATCTCAGAGACGAGGTCATCTTTGAAGGAATGAAAAATGGCCGAAAGCGATCACACCCGTACTTTTGATAGATAAAATGTCAATAAACACAATGACAGATAATGTGAACTAAGAGCTCTCTGTCTTTCCACTTTGTCAAGCCACTTCATTGTAGCACCAACTACTGGTGAGGAGGACTTACTCATTGTCAGATTTTTAAGGGTATTGGTGGCTGGTATCGCCGTCCTTTAAAAGTACCCGATACCTTAAAATAAGGTACTTTTTCATCCCAAACCAAGACCATGACTAACTTTACACCAGGATGAATACCAAATTTGGTGAGTTTCTGCATATGAGAAACCCCTCAAAAGCCTCCCTTAATTCAGGGAGAAATTTCAAGAGGGCCTTAACAACAGAAGACTGATCACTTCATCAGCTCCGAGATGAATCGAGAGATGAACGTATAAATTATGGAGAGCCATTATTCTCGTCACACAGCCCGAAATGTGACAGTCCATAAAGCCTGCTTTACATTTTAATCAAATTATCCGGCAAGAGAATTTGAGCTCGATGTGACGTAGCAGCTTCGAACCTTTCCTCAACCAGGCACACATGCAAACACTTGGAAGGAGCATTTCACTCGCGACAACAGACGTGGTGCTTTGATATCGGGCCTGATTATGGGATGGATGCTGCAGGCCGCCCTGAGGGCTTGCCCTTTTTGAGGTGGGGGAGGGACTGGAAGGGGGGAGGCAAAAGCAAAAAGCCTTGATGTTCTTGTCACTGCTAAATTTCTAATAATAACTCAAACTGACTGCCAAAGGCTTCTCATTTAATGGTAGGGCATGTGTGACTTTTACAAGTTCCATTTTGTTGACTTTTTGTTGATGTGGCACACCATTAGTGTGAATTATTTTAGTTTTTTTTTTACCCATTCCACTCCATATTTCGCTTGATGTATTTTGAATTCTCATTTACTTGCATTTTAAATACCTTTCTATCTAAAATATTCATAAAAATTAAAATAATGAGCCGTTGATAATTGTATCACGTCATGACATTGTTGTTACAACTTTTTGTGCATAATAAGTGGGTATGGTGAGATTTAAACCTCTCCATACATAAAAGTATTGGAAATCATACTGATTTAATGCATCAAAGTACTACATATTTATTACAGTGTTATTACAACAGTTTAGTTGCAAATGTACAACATGACTAAAAAAATGAGTAGAGAATGAGTGTTATTACGTTATTCATATTGTATTATAGCTTTTATTGTGTAACAAGTGTGTCTGATGAGATTACAGGGAATAAATTGCATCACATTATTACATCGTTCTATCTGGAGTAAAAAACAAAACCTGTTAAGGTATGCTAAAAAACACATTGAGCTAATTAATATTCCATTCATGTTACTTATTTCAAAGAAAATCCTAGCTGCGTTGACAGGTTTATGGCAGTAGAGGGCGCATGTTACCTTAAATAATAACTGCAGAGGCTGGTCTACTTACACAAGCATGTGTGTGTGTGTGTGTGTGACAACAGGAGGAGTCCAAGTTAAAAATACGGAACATGCACTTTGCACCTGTCAACATGGCACAAGGACGGAAAGTGGACGATGATGTCATGAGGGTCTATCGAATAGGAAAGGGGTTGGCGAAGTGATTTCAGAGTGCTGACAGCAAATGAGTGCTCTGCCGCAATCTGGTTGCATCGTGATGCATGTTGATTCAATTACATTAAAGTGAGTTGAGGCACTTCTTTTAGACAAAAAGAAGTGCGATGCTGCCATCCTGTCATATTTGCGTCAAAAGGAAATATGTTGAAGTGAGTTGAAGCGCTCCATTTAGAGAAAAGTGGTGCTTGGCCATCATCTTGTGGCATCCTGCTGCCAAGGAGCTATGTTGAAATGCACCGAGGAGCTTCATTTAGACAAAAGCAAAGCTCTGCCCCCATCGTGAGGCATCTTGGTGCCAACCAACTCTGTTGAAGTTAGTTGAGGAGCCGCATTGAGTGCTTAGATGCCATTTTGAGGCATCCTGGTGTCAAGGAACTACAGTGAAGTGGGTTGAGGAGCTTCTTTGAGACAAAAGGTACATTTACATCATAGTAAGAGATATTTAGTACGATTATTTGTCCATTCGGAATTATGCCGTGTCAAGTGAAACTCATGTTGAACAATCCATGAATGAGATTTCGAGGTTTCAGAATGAGGTTGAGCCTCTTACTTCTGTTCAAGGCCCGTCAGCTCTTTGCCTTCATCCTCATACGCCGTGTGGAGAGCTCGGTGAATCTTCTGGAAAATGAGGAGACAAACCAAATAAGAGAAAAATAGCAAAAACAAACCACATTATTAAAGCTTGTCTGACTCCATCATTGATTTATGGTGACAGCCTTGCTCCGCCCACACACAACGGCAACATCTCAAAATCCTTGCTGCATGCAGTTTGGCTTGCGTCCGTGCTTAACATTTGCAAACAGTCCAAATCTCAGAGACGAGGTCATCTTTGAAGGAATGAAAAATGGCCGAAAGCGATCACACCCGTACTTTTGATAGATAAAATGTCAATAAACACAATGACAGATAATGTGAACTAAGAGCTCTCTGTCTTTCCACTTTGTCAAGCCACTTCATTGTAGCACCAACTACTGGTGAGGAGGACTTACTCATTGTCAGATTTTTAAGGGTATTGGTGGCTGGTATCGCCGTCCTTTAAAAGTACCCGATACCTTAAAATAAGGTACTTTTTCATCCCAAACCAAGACCATGACTAACTTTACACCAGGATGAATACCAAATTTGGTGAGTTTCTGCATATGAGAAACCCCTCAAAAGCCTCCCTTAATTCAGGGAGAAATTTCAAGAGGGCCTTAACAACAGAAGACTGATCACTTCATCAGCTCCGAGATGAATCGAGAGATGAACGTATAAATTATGGAGAGCCATTATTCTTGTCACACAGCCCGAAATGTGACAGTCCATAAAGCCTGCTTTACATTTTAATCAAATTATCCGGCAAGAGAATTTGAACTCGATGTGACGTAGCAGCTTCAAACCTTTCCTCAACCAGGCACACATGCCAACACTTGGAAGGAGCATTTCACTCGCGACAACAGACGTGGTGCTTTGATATCGGGCCTGATTATGGGATGGATGCTGCAGGCCGCCCTGAGGGCTTGCCCTTTTTGAGGTGGGGGAGGGACTGGAAGGGGGGAGGCAAAAGCAAAAAGCCTTGATGTTCTTGTCACTGCTAAATTTCTAATAATAACTCAAACTGACTGCCAAAGGCTTCTCATTTAATGGTAGGGCATGTGTGACTTTTACAAGTTCCATTTTGTTGACTTTTTGTTGATGTGGCACACCATTAGTGTGAATTATTTTAGTTTTTTTTTTACCCATTCCACTCCATATTTCGCTTGATGTATTTTGAATTCTCATTTACTTGCATTTTAAATACCTTTCTATCTAAAATATTCATAAAAATTAAAATAATGAGCCGTTGATAATTGTATCACGTCATGACATTTTTGTTCCAACTTTTTGTGCATAATAAGTGGGTATGGTGAGATTTAAACCTCTCCATACATAAAAGTATTGGAAATCATACTGATTTAATGCATCAAAGTACTACATATTTATTACAGTGTTATTACAACAGTTTAGTTGCAAATGTACAACATGACTAAAAAAATGAGTAGAGAATGAGTGTTATTACGTTATTCATATTGTATTATAGCTTTTATTGTGTAACAAGTGTGTCTGATGAGATTACAGGGAATAAATTGCATCACATTATTACATCGTTCTATCTGGAGTAAAAAACAAAACCTGTTAAGGTATGCTAAAAAACACATTGAGCTAATTAATATTCCATTCATGTTACTTATTTCAAAGAAAATCCTAGCTGCGTTGACAGGTTTATGGCAGGAGGGGGCGCATGTTACCTTAAATAATAACTGCAGAGGCTGGGCTACTTAAACCAGCATGGGGGTGGGGGTGGGGTGTGTGTGTGTGTGTGTGTGTGTGTGTGTTGTCACCTGGCTGGTGTGTAGCCAGTACTGCAGCGTGTGCCTGCGGCGGAGGCGGGGGATGACCAGGTGGTAGAAGGTGTGCTCGCCCGCCAAGGTCAGCAAGGCGCCACCCACCCCCATGCACAGCAGCACAAAAAGGCCCGAGAAGTGCTGGATGCCCATCTGGAGTGTCTGGAGGGAGGTTTGGGGGAGGGTTGAGGGGGGTTGAGGGAGAGGGACCTTCACATCTAAGTAGGAGCTCAGTGCATAAATGAGCATCAACGAGAGCTGAGGGGGAACAAAAGGAACCTGCCAGCAGGCAGGTGCTCAAAGGAAAAGAATGATTGGATGTTTGAGGAAGATTTGCCTTGGTCGCACTCTCGAAGCCGTTTCTTAGTCTCGACTCGCTCCAGGCTTTGGGCTCGGCTGGGTTTCAACCTCCCTTGGTCTTGACTTGCTTTGTTTGGCCTTGGATTTCATTTTTGATTTGGGTTCAACCTGCTTCGTTACTTGACTCGACCTGCCGTGGTCTTAGTCTTGACTCATCTTAGTCACCACTTGGTTCTTTGTCGGTTTCGAGTCAGTCTCAACCCGTTTTGTTCTTGGACATGATTTGGGAACAACCCGTCTTGATGTTAGTCTTGCCTTGGTCCCTACCGGCCTTCGTCCAAAGCGTGACTTCACCTCAACCCTCAGCCCTCATTGGTCTTTGTCGTGGTCATTGGTCTTGCTTCTTTTTCAAAGTCGACTCAGTCTCGACCGTTTTCAGACTCCACTAGGTCTACGTCTTCCCAGGCTTGGTCTCCGGACTCATTGTCAAGATGCATCCTGTAATCTTTAGCCTCAAATCATATCAGTGACATGGTTTTGGCTCATGCTTGACCCACTTCTCTTTGACTCACTTTTGACTTGACTCGGTCTCAACAGGCCTTGGTCTTAGACTCATTGTGGTCTCAATTTACCTTAGTTTTTTGTGGAGTTTGTCCCACATTGGACCCAGTCTGAATTTGAACTAAAATCTCTTTGGTATTGCAATAGATGGTGTTTCCACGTCATGATCTTATCTTTGAACTGCTCTCCGCTCACAGGGGCGGCATGGCTCAGAAGCAGGTCCCATGTCGACCATCTTTGAAGTGTCTTTCAGAAAGACACTGAACCCCCAGTTACTCCGAATGCTGCGTCAACAGTCGGTGACCCTAACCCGAGTAACCCTAACCCTAACCCTCAACTTGATTCCAATTCACCTTGGTCTTTAGTATCAACTCGGTTTTGACACTCCTTACTTAAAATAGGTCTCAAACTGCCTTTTGACTTGGTCTCAACACACTGTGGTCTCAGTCACGACTTGACTCAGTCTTAGTCTGGGTTTGGTCTCGACCTGTCGTGGTCTTGGTCTGGACCTGACCTCGGTCTTATTCCTCAATTCCTCTTAGTTTCAGCAGAATGCCTGACTTTGTCTAAAGCAGTTCCCAAATGCACACATACAAACAGAGACACAAACACACACAGACACCTGCCTGCCTTCTGTGACATCTCTCCTAGTCGGTGCAGAGGAGGCATCATCTTCTAAAGTGCTCTCATCAGGTTCCTGTCACTGAGCTTATAATAATAATAATATGGGCGACGCCTCTGTGATGCTGTGCAATTAGCCGCGCGCTGAATCTGCAATTTTGTCAGCCAGGTGCTTAACGTTTTCTCCATCCAGAGGGCAACGTGGCGCTAAATCCCAAATTGTTCCTAAATTAGCCCAAACAACAACCACGGCCCTCCCCAAAGGAAGGAGAGAGTAGCGAGTTGTTGTTCAAGGTTCAGCTTTCAAAGTCAAGTGCAGCCCCTCAGCAAATCCAGCAGGTGGCTGCGGCGAAAAAACAAATTACCGTACGACTACTACCGTGACTGCAACTACTTCCGCTAACTGCGTGTCTGTTCTCAATGTGCCCTGCGTGGGTTTTCTCTCTCTCTAAAATTATCCATCCATTTTCTGATCCGCTTTATCCTCACAAGGGTCGAGGAGGGTGCTGGAGCCTATGCCAGCTGTCTTCGGGCAGTCAGCGGGGGACACCCTGAACCGGTAGCCAGCCAATCGCAGGGCACACAGAGACGACCAACCATCCGCACTCTCACTCATACCAAGGGGCAATTTGGAGTGTTCAATCAGCCTGCCATGCATGTTTTTGGAATGTGGGAGGAAACCGGAGTACCCAGAGAAAACCCACGCAGGCACGGAGAGAACATGCAAACTCTACACAGGAAGGCCGGACCCGGGATCGAACCCACGACCTCTGCACTGTGAGGCCGACGCGCTAACCAGTCGACCACTCTAGAATTAGTTTTTCAAATAGTTACATATAAAAACGTTTCGAATATTAAAACACTGTTGCCGAAAAGGTGCAGCGAGAAACAGACCGAACACATAACCAAATGTCATCGAACTGTGTGACCCTGTCGCTGAGCTTGTTCAGGCATGTGTGTGCGCCTACGCGTGCGTCTCTGTAATTGCGTGTGACAGTTAGTTGGCAGGCCGCGTCCCCAAGGGAGCATTATTTCGAGAAGTGTCGCTTTTAAAACGCGGCAGACGAAGACGACGGCCGAAGTCCACCATCACCCCCCCGGCCGCCCCGTCATCCTGTCACTTACCTCAGTCACAGCGAAGACACGCTTCCCGCAGGGCACCACCTTGTACCATTTGTCGTGTAGCATGTCCATGAAGCCGTCCGACTTGTAGCGGCTCACGAACTCGGACACGTTGCGGGTCAGAGGGGAGCCTTGCGGCAGGCCGATGCCGTAACCTGCGAGAGATGGACAACAAACGAGCTTGGTCAACAGAGTGGAAGGACTTGTCGTTTTCTAGGAAATGATGCATGGGCCGAGGAATTTTGGTATGAATCGAAATGAACCAGTGAGTCTTCTGCCTAGGTCACGATCAAGTCTTAGCTTTGACTCGGTCTTGATGTAGTTTCAAACCCTCAAAATATTCATCCTGACTTGGTCTTAACCCCCCAATGTTTTGATCTTCACTTAGTCTGGGCTCCATAAAGTCTTGGTCTTGACTTGGTCTCAACCGGCCTTGGTCTTAGGCTCCTTGTGCCCTTAATCCCCAACGTGGTCTTCATTCAGTATCAGCCCCTCAAAACCTTGGTCTTCACTTTTCAAAAACTTGTATTTGACTTGGTGTCAGCACCTGAATCTCAATCTTGCCTTTATCAGTCTCAGTCCAACCCCTCCAAGCCCTGCTCTTGAATCAGTTTGACACCCTTAAAGGCTTGGTCTTACCTCATGAAGTCTTGGTCTGGAGTCTGAAAAGACAAGACCAAGACTTTGAGGTCTCAAGACAACCTGAAAATCTTGATCTTGTCTTGCCTTTCGAAAAGTCTTGGCTTTCGAAAACGTTGGCCTTGACTTCGTCTTGACTCCTCCAAAAGTTTGTCTGGACTCGCTATGACACAAAGTATTCCACTTCTTTTAACAGATGGACCTTGGCGAAGGACTTTGCTCCACTCGCATGCTCATGATAGCATTGCTAACACCCAAAAAAAAAAAAAAAAATGTAACGGTGACCTCAGACTTCGATACGAGAGAATTGTTCAGCCTTGGCGGGGGTCGACTGTACGTTGTGTGGCCGGCGATGCACTTTGGCCCCTTCCTCGCAGTGTGTGACGGCGAGGTCGTCACTTCTTAAAGCAGCTGAGGCCCGCTGTGGTAGTTCCCGTGTAGCAAAACCAGTCAGTCGGTCGGCCTCAATTAGCTAAAGGGCAGATGCTCTCTGAAATAAGATTTATTGGCTCACGAGGCTTCAGCTAGAATCCAAATCAAGCACTTTGCAGCCAAGTGTGGTGAGCTCACGCACGTACACGCACACACACACTCGCGCACGACCTCAAACACATACACAGTAGGTCAGTGCAACGTGGTGGCCTTTTCTGTAAGCATGTCGGGCGAATAAAACATGCCGCAATTTTCGAATGCCAAGCACTCCCACCAATCTTGTTTTTCTGCTATTATGCTTGTCCTTTTGTCGATGAATGTCCAAATATTCTATGCTAAAAAAAAAACCCCATCAAATAACCCTGATCAGGTTTTCGTCTTGACTCTGCCTTGGTCACAGTCTCGGCTCTGTCGAACCTGCAATGGTCTTTCCCTTTGGTATCAACTTGCATCTGTTGTAGTCTCAACCTGTCCTGACTTGGTCTTAACATCTCAAAGACTTGGTCTTGGTTCTTTAAAGTCTTGGTCCTGCCTCAATCTCATCCCTTCAAAGTTTTGGATCCACTCTAATTCATAACTTGTTGTTAGTTTGTTAAAGTTTGATAGTGACTCTGTCTCAACCCTTCACAGACTTGGTTTTCAAATGGTCTCAGCTACTTTGAGTCTTTGTTTCTTGGTCTTAACATCTCAAAGACTTGGTCTTGGTTCTTTAAAGTCTTGGTCCTGCCTCAATCTCATCCCTTCAAAGTCTTGGTTTTGGATCCACTCTAATTCATAACTTGTTAGTTTGTTAAAGTTGGATAGTGACTCTGTCTCAACCCTTCACAGACTTGGTTTTCAAATGGTCTCAGCTACTTTGAGTCTTTGTTTTGACTTCACCTCAACTCCTTATAGTCGAGGTCTGGACCTGGGCTCAGTTTGTAAATGTCTCGGTCTAGCATTGGTCTCTACTCCCGAAAGTTTTGGTCTTGACTTGGTGTCCGTTCTTCCAACGCTTGCTTAGAATCTTCGTCTTGACTGAGTTTCAACCCTTCAATGTCTTTATCTGGACTCGGTCTGGGACCAAGTGGTCTTGTGTAGTACTTATGTCAAAGCTAATGATGTCACTGCGGGAGACGGCCCCCTTTCTCAGATACAAACAAGTGCAGGAAGACCTTTCAATGATGGTCCAATGATGAATGGCTATCCAGGTAGACATCTGGCATGGACGTCAACATATGCGAGCTACAAGAGATGAAATATTAAATACTTAGCAGATGTTCCGTTCCTCCAGCCTTCTGGGATCGGAACACTTTTTGGCAGCTTGTTGTAATACCGTCTTAAAGCAACAGCGTGCAGTGTCCTCGGCTGCAATTACCGCTCGTATCTTCCCCCATTTTAGCCTGCTGTTTATCTACATCATTCCTTCTCTCTTTTTTTTTTTCCTCCTCGCTCTCTTATCTCCCGCTTGCTTTGTCTCGCTCTCTTCCTCCCGCCCCGTCAGAGCAGGCAGACGTCGCCGTCACCGTCGTCAGCCTCGGCGTGCCCATTTATTGAACAAATGATGGAACACGAGCAAGCTGACACTTATCATACCTTTATGGACTATAAAAGCCACACAAATCTCCCCTATGGCGACACACACCCACGTCAGGTTTCAATCTGTACGGCTTCTCAGCGGGCTCATTAATGGGAAAGAACATTCGGTACACTTGCATGAACAAATAGTGCTCGGGTTTGATCGCCGCTGTTAAAGAGATGTTTATTGTTGGGATTATCATCTTGAATCACCGTGTCAAATTATTATGAGGAACACCTCTCAGTCTGACACAGTGCAACGGGACACAAAGAACCTTTTTTTTAATCTGTCTAAGTCACCAATTTTGTATTTGTTTTTCTCTATGTCCATTTTTTTTTCTTCCAGGCAGATGAAGAACATTCTTCTGCAGAAGTGGATCCATTTTGCTAGACAAACAGCAGGGGCTCGGAACAGTGCCCAGAGGAAGAGCGCGAGAGACGATCACTCCGCTCTTTGCCTGGAATCTGAGAGCAAATCTTGATCGGATGCTCAAGTTCCTGCTCGAGATGGTAACAACCGGGATGGTAACATTTATGTCTCAATTTTGGGGCGGGCTTGGGACGGGTTAGGGCATTTACATGGAAAACGCGTCTCTAGGAACAACATTTTCTAGTTAAGAATTTTGTAAGTATCGGTACCACTGTAATTTTTTTCAATTGATTCGTTCCTCATTCATATTTTAAAAAAATAAGAAGAGGTCCACTGTACTGTTGGTTTTACATAGAATTTATACAGTTCATATACAGTATGGGGACGAAGATGCTTAACAATTATCACACACATAAATTGGCCAATGCCTTGTCCGACAAAGCGTCAATCAACAATGCGCCAAATTCTCCCTGCCGAGGCAGATTGTTTAATCCACTTGAGTGTCTTGGATCTCATCAGATGGTGCAGCTGCCCCGAACGAAGTGTATTGCGGCGTTTGGCAACGACGGCTGTACGCAAACAAGCGCGCCCGTCGGGATCTGACGTTTGTGCTTCCGCTCACGTCGCCGACATCTTATCGACGACGGCGAAGTATCAGGAAGCACTTAAGGCGTAGGCGCTGACGGCCAGGCAGCGCCATCCATTTTACTTTTTTATCTCCAAACGGGGGCGTGGCAATGATGTATTGCGAGCATCAACATGCGCAGCAACATTTCCGCCATACTTCTTCATATCGTCTTACACTATCTCATAATTGTTTTGGGAGTTGAAGACCTTATCGGGCTATTGTTGTTTTTTTTTTTTTTTAGGTATCCATTTACGCATCCATTCCTTTTTAAAGCGCTTGTCTGAGTTAGGCTTGCAGGTGAGCGAGAGCCGATCCCAGTTGACCCAGAGGTCGGATTGGTTGCCGGCCGATCGCAGGGCATATTTTGACGATCTGCCGCACTCACGTTAACACCGACAGACAATTCAACGTCGAGAAACACCGAACATTCGAAAGTGTACGCACGCATACTGCTGCCACACCGAGATGAAAACGTCCAGCGCCATGTGATCCAATTTCACGTTTCAAACGTGATACATTTTTATAAGGTGATGCGTTTCACGTTAAAAACGTGATACGTTTGATTTCTCGCATTCGGCAAAACAAAACGAAGCAAAACTTTCCGGTTCAGGTCACTCGTGGAGACTTATGCAGGGATGCGTATCTTCTTTCTAAATCTTTGCAAACACTTGGAGCCCGTGAGCACAAAAGTTTGCACACCCCTCTGAGAACCACACCTCCACCGTGTCGCCCAATTCAAACTTCCTCTTCAGAAGCGACTTCCTCAGATATTCCGATGCATCCTCCGCGGCTTTGCTCCTTTCACCAAAGTTTCCAAAGTGGTTACCGGGAGGCTAAATTGCATCTTACTCAACTTTTCCCATTAAAAGTCGTCAGCAGACGAGACGTGAGCGGCCTGATCAACGGCGGCATCTCTCGGGAAAAACTGGCCCGCCGCCCAAAAAAACAACAAAGAGGGCGACGACCGTCGGCTTGTTGCAAAATAATGAATGGGCCCCGTTGTCGGCGTGCTCTCCCCCTTGCACCTTTTCTGCAGGGAGGGACTGGAGGAGCGATCGGCCGGCCGCCATCTTTCCACGGCACAAATCATCGCATTAACGCTGGCCGCGTCCTCACCTTCTGTGCTCTCCCTTCTCTCGCTCGAGGTGAAGGTTTGTCTCGATTAGGCGACTCCGTTGGCCGCCTCTTTTATCACTCAAATGAAAGGCGGCCCCGTATCGCCACCGCCTTTGCCTTCTTGCCGCTTTATTGTTCCCTCGCTCGTGTTTACTGTGTCATCCTCGCTCCTTTCCGCATCCGCTTTCCTCCCGTCCTCGTCTGCCTTTCTAAGCGGTCCGTCAAGCTCACGTCCCAGTGAGTGGCTCTCGCTTGGAAAGCTGGACGGCCCTTGAGGGACTCCGAAAGTGTCCACGCTTTGACTGACAGTTCCAAAAATAATTTATTTTTTCCCCTATGTTTTCAAACTTTAATGGGAACCCCAAAGATAGCCGACTACACCTTGATAGAACAAACAATCATTTTCCGATGTCGAAAACAAAACAACAACAACAAAAGAAAAACATGGAATTGATGGCGGATGACCCCTAGGACCAATTTCTTTTTTTTTTTTTTTTTTTGCTGTTTTCTGCGCACGGACGCTGGATGTGACTCATGTGTGAATGCTCTGGACGTTGACCATGAATAATAGATAGCACCTGCATACTTTTAGCCTGCAGTGAAAGTTCATGCGGTGAATCATTGCTGCCACTCACAGAGATAACATAGTATTTCAGCCCCCCCCCCCCCCTCTCTTCCCGTACCATCTCGCTCAGTGCGGGGGCGCGCGCATATGTCAAAATGTGTGTTGCAGAGCACCACGTGTGTGTGTTGATGAAGAATGTGCACCTCATGCCACCATGCAAGGTACATACATCATATACCTTGTGTGTCTGTGTGTTTGTGTGTGTGTGGGACCCACATGTGAGAGATAAAAATTATGTCAGAGATAAATCATGCCGTATCATCCCATGTGGTCACATATACTGACTGCATAGAACTTATAACACCCCACCCGCCCCTCGCCCTCGTCCGCCGAACCTCACTTTTCGTGTTTGTGTTTGCGAGTGTGTTGAAGCACACCTTCGATGGCGAACGGCTTGCCCACCGTCAGCAGCTTACAGTCCGCGTCGATGGATACCTCGAAATCCAGCAGGGCTTTGTCCATGATGAAGGCATCGAGAATAGGAGGATTGGTCCTTCGCCGCACGCACAAACACGCACACACACGCACACACACGTCGCACGAGTAAGACAAAACACAGATTCAGATTGGTTTAGATTTTTTTTTTTAACTCAAAAAAATAAAATAAAAAATTGTTTTCTTACCTGTCAAAATGTTTTCATTTTTTTATTGTCCTAATAATAAGTATGGAACATTTCAGGAAATTTAGGAAAAATCTTTTTTTGAAGAAAAAAAAAATTCTGCAGACATTTTTAGTTTTAATTGGTAACATATTTTTTCCAATAATAACCATTTAACTTTCTGTGTTTAGTTGAACTACAAAAAAAAAAATGTTATTTGTCAAATTCGGTCTTAAAATACACTCACTCATTCACTTTCCAAACCACTTCTCCATATATTTTTAATTTAAATGTATCCGTGTGGCACGTTACCACTCGGGGGTACACGGCTTCCGCTGGTGGCACGTCGTCAAAGAATCACTGCCCAACTGCAGTTCAGTTGTATTTCACTTTTCAGATCAAAACACTGTTTTTGCATTTCATGTTGGTTTTTACAGAGGAACAATTTTTATTGTTTTAATGGTGTAATTTTTTTTAAGTTGCATTTTTTCCCCACAAGCAAACACATATCATATGAACGCAACATCTGAGCATGTTGAAACACAGCGTCCCTTGCGCGTAAATTGAAAGCGGACGCCATTTAAGTGCATGCTAAGGTAAACACGTATATCATTTACCGAAGCCGGCAGTCTCTGTGGCGGCCCGATAAGACTTTGGACACACTGCCAAAGACTATTCTTCTTCTTCTCCTCCAATTGATCGGCCTGAACCTAATTGACCTCTAATTATAGAGCGCTCCTATTTGCCGGCGAACAACGGGCGGCCGGAGATAAGCGCCGGCGCCACAAAGTGGATTGAAAGCGTCTCAACACGGCAGAGACGTCCAGTTAGGGGAAAACAATCATGTTGGGAAGGACAATAACACGAAACGCACTTTTACATTTCTTGTAAGCTCGCTAAGCGTTCTTCGTGTGGCGGCGGGAGTATGTCATGGCGACTGAATGCATTACGGAACACAACAAAACATTGTGAAAATTGAAAAAAAAAAAAACCCAAAACAATAAAGCACCACTTAACTAATTTAAATGAAGCGGGATGGGGGTCAAATTTGGAAAAGTGCAGATATTATTGACAATTTTCTCAGAAAAAAGTTGTATGAAATATTACATTTTGTTAATAAATAAATAAATAAATATTGATCCATTTTTGTTGTTGGCCCAGAACGTCCAATGTCACAATTTGGTAAATTAATTCTTTTTTTTCCCCACAAATCTACAACAAGCAGGTGTCATTTTGATGAATTATTGTGTTGAGCGCAACATGCGGTTGTGTTGAGTTATGATAGTCAACAAAACTTATTTCGTTTTCGTTGACTGTCATACCCGGGATTAAAATAATATCATTGTCAGAAAATGGCCGTAAATGTGATCAAGGTTCTCCTCAATTTGGCGGTTTTTGTTGGTTAGCAGGATGATGTCACAAAGCAGGCGTCGTGCGTGGGTCGGGGAGGTACCCGTACGCAGAAAATGCGAAAAACGTCATTTCAGTCACCATTCAAGGTTGGCAATGTTTACAGCGAGACAAAAAGGCGGACTTTCCAGAGTTATTCCTTTTCCTTTTTTTTTGTTTTACTTTGCTGTGCTAGCAGAGCGGCGGTGTTTTATTGTTTACCTCTAGCGAGGCCTGTCAGGCACAAAGAAACATGGAGGAGAGAGGAGGAGGGCTTTCTTCTGGGACATAAACACACTGACCTTACCCGATGCGCCACCTTAAATTCAATTCAGTGAAATTTTAATTAGAGGACTTTTTATTTTTTTAAATGTCTATCCCCCCAATGATTCATTTTACCATATTTAAGTTTCGTGTTCGTTTATATTTGGAGTGTTTGTTGAGTGATAAATAATTTTAAAAAATTGTTTTAATCATATGGTTACTAGAATAACCTAAAAAAATGATGATGATCAAATGAAAATGTGCTGGTCCCAAAGCAGTTAAGACTTGCTCGTCTGCAGGCACCGTTCAAAAGCTCCCCTTTTCGTGTGAAGCTTCCGTTAATTGCTTGTGTGTTTTTGGGGAGGTCAGTTATCATCATTCCAGTGGGGACGTCTCAATTAATGCGGTAAACCTGAAATAATTTCATTTAACCAATTGAGTCAACTCTGCGATAACCTCTTTTTAAAGATATATATATATATATATATTTTTTTTTTTTTAAGGCAAGTTTCAGAGGCTGTCTTCACCTTGTCCCGCTTGAAGGTGAAATTTGTGTTTGCTGGCTTTTCTTCATTTTGTCTTCTCTTGTATTCGTCTGTACACAAGCCCGGGTGGGTGGAAGAGCAAACTTGGCACAGGCTTTTCTTTTTTTCTTTTTTTTTTTTTTTTTTGTGCACGTTGTCTTCTGAAATCAAGATTTCCATTCAGGAGGCGTGACTCTGTCTGCCTTACTCTTTGTTTGTTTGTTTGCTTGCTTGCTTGTTTGTTTATTGATCGCCCGCCAATAAGAATGGAAAATGGTTTTGCAATTGTGATGCAGGAGGCAGCGGATCTGACGGCATTTTTGCACTCAAATAACACCAACAACAATCAAGGTTAGAGTTGCTGGGCAGTCTAGTTTAAGTGATTGCCGGAATTTTTTTTTTTTTAATCGTGTGTGTGTGTGTGTGTGTGTGTGTGTGTGTGTGTTTGTTTGCGTGTGTGTGCGTCTTACTTGAGCATGTGCACGCCCTCGGGGGTGGTGGGCTGGTTGAAGCGCCGCATGTAGTCGTGCATCTCGGGGAAGCTCTTCTTCATGTAATCCTCGGCGCTGCTCTCGCGCACTGTACCGAATCGGAAGCCCAGCGACGGGTGGTGCAACTGCCGCGGCGGGACGCCACGGAAGAAAAAAAACAAACAAAAAAAAAAAAAAAAACGGGGCGCAAGAGGAAGAGGATGCAGGACGACACAGCAAATCAAAAATCGAACCAAATACGAAGTTTGTTGTGCTACAGTCAAAATCACTTTGACTTCCTCACAGGTTTGAGTCACTGGCCAGTCTACGAGTCCGAGTCTAACCTTATCATCGTGGATTCCCGACACCTGCTCGAAGGTCTTTTCGCCAACCATGACGGCGGCCAGGTTGGCCGTGTAGCTGGAGAGCACCAGGAGGCAAAAGATGGCCCACAGGTTCATCAGGAAGCGGCCCGTCCAGCATTTGGGGGTCTGAAGAGGGGGGAGGGGTGACAACAAAAGCCTCACAACGGCCCGTGGACTCCACCACCACCATCATCATCATCATCAGCCATCGCCTCTCTCACCAGTAAGTGACAATAGGAGACATGATACCAAGTATGCTGTGGATTAGTTCTCGGAGGTCGTCCAGAGTAATAACGATGCCTTTCTCCCCTCTATTCAGTTGCTCCAAAATGATGCTCTTGCGCTACACGTTCTTTGAGTAAACTCCAGTACTTTTTAAATTTCTCTCATGTCGTTTGCTATTCAACGTTTTAAATGGGATTGCCTTCCTATGTTATTTTGCAACTGTGAAGCACATTGCGTTAACTTGTTGACGAAATTCAACCCACCTCAAATCAACTGTATTTTTTAGAGCATTTTGAAACAACCACCGCTGTATACAAAGTGCGGTACATGCAGCAAAAATAATCCATGCAACAAAAAACAATACACAGGAAGCCAGTGAAGGGAGGAGGAGGTGGGTGCTCGGTCTTCGGAGTACCTGTCGAGAGGCGAGCAGCAGCATTTTGGAGCAACTGGAGATGCTTCATGGAGGATTGCTTGACTCCAAAGTAAAGTGCATGACAATAATCCGCATGAGAGGTAACGAAGCGGCTTCGCCTTGCCTTGTTGAGAAAAGTGGAAAAAGTGAGGACCGAGTGTTGTTCTTCGAAGGACACTTTTTGGTTTCAAACCGAGCCTTCCAGGTATTGACACAAGTTCAGTTCCACATTTAAAGCGCTCCATCCTCTGAACAAATCCTACATTAGCACCCAATGAAGTTAATTGAAAAAAGATGGCCAGGCATATTAAAGGAAATCTAAGCAAGGGGAGCTGTTTGGAAGGCACCTGGGAAACATCTCTCCATGAAATTGTCAGCCACGTGGGAGGGGGGGGGGCGGGGGGAAGAGAACTGCCTCCGCTTTATGCCGCCGCCCCCAAGCCCACCCCAGAAAGCCAATAATTTATTCCGCCAATTAAAATCCACCTCGTGTAAGAGAAGACAGGAGGACAACTTTCTCTCGCTGGAAAGACTCGACGATTCACTGTAAAGCCGGTCCGTGAGCGCTGATTACAAGGTGAAAAGATGGGACATTTCTCTGCAGAGCACAACATTAATCAGCTGAGCCCCCACTAGTCATTAAATACTATTGCTATATATTGGAATAAGACTGAAGCAGACGCATCCATCCATTTTCATCCATCTGAGGCGGTCGCCTTTTATTGGCAATACCGCCCTCTGCTGTCAACTGAAACCGACGTCGACATCAGGGCTCACCTGTTTTCTGGGTTCGGTCACGTGACGTTTGCAATGCGAGCCCGAGGGCCGCAGTGACGTCGATTTTAGACGACAGGGGAGGGCGGGTTTATCCGAAAATGGCGGACCAAAATGGATGGATTAATCTGCTTTATTTCTCTTCCACTAACATAATCTCAACTCAAGTCAACTGTATTTATAGAGGAGGGGGGGGGGGCAATTCTGCTCATCAGCGAGGATCAAAGGCGCGACCTTTCAATCAGGCGAAGGTCTCCCTAATAACTCGGCCTCTGTTCTTGTTCATCCCAGAGTCCCCGGGGTCGGGGCGGGGTGGGGGGGCATGCGGGGGATTGTGCGTTCATTATGATGGCTTGCCAACTCACAGCAGGCCGTTGGAGCGAATGACATTGATGTTGCAAATTTGGATTTGTGAACGTGCATTAATTTCAGCGAGCGTATGCTTTCAAAACATCTATTAAGCGGGTGGGGCTTGAAAATGACCTTGCGTTCAGCGAGGTTCAGCAATATAAACGAGAGTGACAAGATTTGAACTGGAATGATCTGTTTATCCATCAATTTTCCTCGTTTATCCCGGTAAGAGTCGCGGGGATGATGTCTCTGGATGAGAACGAGGTGTACGGACGGGCAAGGTCCCTCCAGAGAGTCCAAGGTTTTACGCCGACCGGTTGAACATACCCGGAACACGTAGCTAGTCAGGTGGAGGATAAGATCGAGACTGATGAGATCTAAACTACGGCTACAAGTTTATCCATCCGTTTTTCCACTTTCCTCTACACTGGTTCGAGTCATGGGGAAAGTCGTAGGTTGTGGAAATCGTGGGAGCATATCAAAGTGTTTGCAGGCCTATTGAGAGATACGCTCCCTCCAGAGAGTCACCTACTATTTGGGTATGCCCAGAACACATAACGAGGGAGGTGACCTGTCCCTGGACAATTTCTCCAGTCTCATCGAGACGATAAGACTGACAAGATTTGAATCGGAATCATGGGTTTACCCATCCATTTTATCTGTGCTTATAATTGCCGCGGGGGAAGAAGTCTCGGGAGGTGTTCCCAGACCAACTCAGGGACGTGACTCCTCCAGAGGATCCGAGGACCATGCCAACATCTGCAACCCATTGGGACAATCGGGAACACATAACCACGGAGGCGGCTTGTCTTGGGTCAAATTCTCCATCTCTTTTGGTAGGGTTAAAGTCCAGCTTGACCAGATTCAATTGTTTCTTTGTTTATATTGGTCATGGGGGGGGCGGGGAAGAGGTTTTGGGAGGATACCGAGATGTTTCCAGGCCAATCGAGAGAGACCGTCTCAGTCAGAGAGTCTCCTACCATTTGCATATGCACAGAATACGTAACCGGGGGGGTGGGGGGGGGGTAGCAAATTGTCTCCAGCTTTACTGGGATGGTAAGACTGACAAAGATTTGAACTGCAATTTTCATTTCTGCATTTCCTGTGGTTTTCCTGGTCATGACACCACAGGGGAAGAAGCACTCGAAGGATCGTGAGGCGTTCGGAGGCCCGTTGTGGGTGATGGTCCCTAAAGAGGGTCATAGGTCAAGGCTTCCGAGGGAGGTGTCTGTTGATGACAGATGCCTGCGATACCTTAACCGGCTTCTCTCTGACCCTGCTCCTCGCACCCCAGCTCTACAAGTGACCTCCGGACACCGAAGTGAAGGGAAATCATTTCCATCATTTTCATTTGACAGAATTTTGCTTGCAACCACCGGGAATTTATTTCAACCGCTAAATCATCCAGTGCAGCAAAAATTGGTGACTGCACCAATCCAGGTTTGATTTAATTCAGCACTGGGCCAACATCCTTTGAGGGACTGAAGTGCATCAAGTTTTGCATTAACCACGTTCCTCAGAAGCACATACTTTTAGGGACTGGAATGTTTCATTCACATGGGCCTCATACCTGTCAGGGAACCTTACTGCCTGCTCGTAAATCATCACCGTGATACGTTTTCCCAAGACAGAGTGAGAAGAGAACACCGCTCCCTCCCGCTAACACGACCATGACCAGCCTCCTGGGCCGGTTCCGTTTCTCATCGTCACTGACTCGATTAACCTCTCAACCCAATGCGGACAGCCGACTGTCAGCGGTCTCATTACTCCCCTTGTTGCTTTCTGGACTCTCACCCGTCGCAAACTTTGTGCGACTCTCAGAGTGTTGACCTAACCTGCCCCCCCTCCAAACGTGATCCATCCCAATCGTGACGGTCATAACTCATTCCAATCTCTGTTGAGACACTTACCCTTGCATGATCCTCCTTGTGCCTCCCTGCTTCATCACTGCCTCACTTCTAACCTCGCCCTCAAAAGTTCGCTTGGTGGCGCCGGTGCGGCCAAACAGGATGGCGTAGCAGAGGTTGAGGGCGGACGAATAGGAGAACACGCGCACCCGGTTGCGCCCGTGGGGGGTCATGCCGAAGGGGCTGTTCCACTCGTACAAGGTGAGGAAAAGTGCGGTGAGGTGCAGCGTGACGAAGATGCCCACCCACATGGACCAGTGCAGGGGCCACATGAAGGCGCCGATGGGGGCTGCCGTGTCCCGACTGCGGACCTGGGAGAACCGACGACAGTTGTTTTTGTAGCATTTGTTTCTGACGTAGATGGCGTCGGCAAAAATAAATAAGTAAATGAATACAGGTATCACACATGCGGTTCCACATTTGTGGTATTTTCGATGTTGTCGTAAAATTCATTCATGCCTTTGTGACATCTTGGCTGAATTATTGTAACGCACTTCACTTTGGAGTCAGCCAATACTCCATGAAGCGTCTCCAGTTGGTCCAAAATGCTGCTGCTTGTCTCTTGACTGGTACTCATAAGAGGGAGCACATCACTCCTACTCTTTACTGGCTCCCGATACATTTTAGAGTTCTTTTTAAGATAGCGGATAAGCGGATCGGAAAATGGATGGATGGATCTTTAATTCTTTAATAATTGCCCCATCTTACCACTCTGAGCTACTCCGCCCCTACACGCCTGCCCGGTGCCTCAGGTCTGACTCAGTATGACTCAGACTTGATTTTAGTTTGATTGTTTTTGTGCTTTCTACTGTCTTCGTTATTAATTTATCGTTTTAGTGTTTATTGTTGCATATTTGATATTTGCCCCATGTACAGCACTTTGTATACAGCTTGTATACGTGCTCTATAAATACAGTTCAGTTGAGTTGAGTATTAAAAAAAAAAAGCTCTCGTGACTTTCTATCATTCTTTGGATACAGTTCAGTTGAGTTGAGTATTAAAAAAAAAAAAAGCTTTCGTGACTTTCTATCATTCTTTGACAGCGATTCCATTTCGATGGCACTTTTGCAAGCCCGGTAATGCTCAGCGTGCTGTAAAATAGTCCAGTTACACACCTAACTTTGTGTATCCATTTTCCTCTGAAATCCTTGAGAGAGCCGTTTCAGTTTCTGCATCATATTTTTACCACCAGCCCGAGGTATCTTGTCGGTAAACACAGACAGCCGTAATTAGTTTGTAAAATCCATCCACAGAGTTTTCCATTTTGCACAATTTGTCGACTCTGGAAGGACAAGGAAGGTTTTTTTCCCCCCCCTTTTCTTACAGACAGATGAGCCTTTCTTCCGAAACGGGACCCTACAGTCAGATTGTATTATACATCGCAGCGTGTCAGCTGCACGGGGAGATGTTAACAAATCAAACGAATAACGGCAGCGTGTCTCGGGGCTCCGCTCAGACGTCTCCTGCCGCCCGCCTCTCCGAGCCGTTACGGCATCTTAAACCGCTGCTCATTTTTGGGGGAATTTCCATAATTAATAGGCCCGGCGTAAAGCGAAACTAATTATTCACTCGCTAATGAACTCCAGTTGGTGGATGAGAGGGGCCAAAGGGGGAAATCAAGCGGCGGGGGCGGCGGCCCGCATTGGCAGAAATGACTGAATGCTGACAAGGGATTCGAAATTACTCACGCTCTCTACTGTAGAAGCAAAGATTAAAAATAAATAAATAAATACGACGGCGTTATTTACATGAGTAAAAATTTTTTAAAAAGTACAGACTCTGGAATGTACTTGAATAAAAAGGAAATGTGATTTTTATGTGTTTGCTCAGATGAGACAGAAATTGTCAGCGCGAGAATAGCATTTTATGTCTGCATTAAAAACCGTAATTAATAAAAGATCTTAACTGCAGTAAGGCTCCACTGTTCTCCATTTACGTCTCCATTTTTTTTTTTTTTTTAAAACATCCTGCCGTATTCAGTGGAGGTAAAAAAATAAATAAAAAAAGAAAGTCAAAATGGAGTACGCAGTGGGAATAGGAGCGAATCAACGACTAACGTATGAAACGCATTTGCACTTGGTTACTTCCCATCAGCGGCTGAGGGCTGACTGAAGATGTCAGCACATTGTTAGACATGCCCCGGATTCTCCGCCCTCAACAAGATGCCAAAAATACCACAAATGGAATTAATGATGACCGCTAGCCACTGTACCAGGATGCCCAGGCTGGTGGAGTAAAAGGGCGACGTGAAGTCAATGACCCTGCTCCTGGCCGAGTTGATGGAAAAGGAGGTGACCGCCATGTCGGCCGTGCCGCTCCTCAGGTCGCCCACCAGGCCGGTCCAGCGGCCGCTGCCGCTCATCGCCCCGTACTTCCCGTCCCCCACGATGTAGAGGTCAAAGGTGAAGCCCATGTCCTCCGCCAGCTTCTCCAGTAGGTCGATGCAGTAGCCGTAGCAGCACTTGCGCAGGTCCTCCGGAAGGCCTGCGAAGGGGAAGACGGCGACGTGAATTGAATTCTGATCGAGCTCCAAACAACGAGATTAGTGCTGACTCTCGTGTAATTCCCTTTGCACGCCGAGCTGGTGATGGGAGAGCCAAAATAAGCTTTGATACCAGCACCTCCGTGCAGGTCTCGAGTGAAATACGTTTGGATTCAAAGGTCGGGGAAAGGGTTAAGCGTTAGGGGTTGGGTTTTCGGTTCAAGCTAAGTGTTTGGTGTCAGGTGTAGGGGGTTAGGGTTAGCGTGGACAACCCAATAAAAAGTGCGCTGGCTGGTAGGTAAAAGGATCAATGGTTTGAGATCGTGATTAGGATTAAGGAATACAATGAGTGGTTCGGTTTCTGGTTAGGGTTAAAGGTTGGAAAGGGTCTTCGGGTTTTGGTGTCCAAGTTTCAAGTCAGGGTTAAGGATTAGGGTTTAGAGTTTAAAAAAAAATAGGGTTAGGGTTGGGGTTCGCATCTGCAATCTTGGTCCAGACCGGGGGTCGGCAACCCGTGGCTCCAGAGCCGCATGCTTGTTCAAAAATGTTTGAAAATGGAAAAAGAGGGGGGAGGGAAATATATTTTTTGCTTTAATATGGTTTCTGTAGGAGTACAAACATGACACAAACATTCTTCATGCTTTACAATGCTGTAAAAATGTGTAGAATAAATATTTCTTCTTAATTTTTTGCGGCTCCAGACATTTTGTTTTTTTGGTCCAATATGGTTCTTTCAACATTTTGGGTTGCCAACCCCTGGTCCAGACGCTTAGTTCGGGAAAACCTACATCAAAAAAAATCTTGAGAAAGTGAAAAAGAAACAATGAATGGAATTGATTTGGACAAAGGCACACTTGGTTATCCCAAAGGTGTTAGTAAGGGGTCGCTTCAAATGCAAGATGAAAATTGTCAAAAAAGTCTATCGCTTGTGGTCAATAAATACTGCGGAATTAAAGTGAAAGCCAACTTACTAATGCCTTCCCAGTCTGCCGCTGACGCGTTGGGATTATGCAGCTGGTTGAAGAGTCCTTGTATCACATCTGACCTGTTGGTCCTCGGGTCCAGGCAGAGCTGCCCGGCAGGACACAGCCCGTCCTCGTCCACCTCGCGCGTGAACACAAACGGGTGCTCCACCAGGGTCACCACCCGCAGACGGTGGCCCTCCACCGAAAGCCCGGGCCTCCAGCGTCCCCCGGCGTTAAAGTCCCCTTGACCGTCACCTCCCCTCACCCCGGCGCCGAGGCCTTGACCCGGGCTGCTGCTGAAGCCCCCCGCCAGCCCGTGGACGCCACCCTCCAACTCCAGCCTGCCTCGGGACCACTGGCCCACAGTGACCCAGGCCGGCTGGCCCAGGGCGCCCCTCTTGAGGCTCCAGACGTGGAAGAGCTGCGAGGAAAGTATTCTGGAGAGGTCAGCATCCACCTGGATAAGGCCTGTGGCACCGGTGAAGGAGGTGTTGGGAAAAAACCTAGACAGTCGAGATAGAGACAGTATAAAAAAAAAAGTACGTTTATATTTCTACCCCTTCCACACACTTTAAACAGGAGAAAATGTAAATACAAACATAAAAAAATGATCGCTTGAAAATGTTTCAATATAGCAGGGGCACGAGCGATGAGTCGTGATATCGTGGGCGAAGACTGGACATTATTTATCGGCGTGGAGAAATTCAGTCGTTCTTTCAATGGCTCCGATTGCTCACATCCATAAAAAGACACTACAAACACTTTAAAAAAAAAACGGTTTGGGTTCAAGTGTCAAAGGAGAAGAAACATCCATTTTTTTTTTTTTCCGATAGTGCTTGGCCTCATGAGAGTCGCGCGTGAACTGGAGCCGATCCCAGCTGACTTTGGCCAAGTGTGGAGGTACGCCCTGAACTAGTCGCCACCCACTCAAAGGTCACACGTACAAACAAGCAATCAAGGTCACATTCACATGCATCCATTTTCTAATCCGCTGATCCCCACGACGGTCGGGGGGGGGGGGGCGCTGGAGACGATCCCAGCTATCGTCGGGCAGTCGGCGGAGAAACCCCTGAACTGGTCGCCGGCCAATCGCGGGTCACATTCACATCTGTTGTCAATTTAAAGTCTATAATGAGGCTAATATGCGCGTTTCTGGAACGTGGGCGGAAGCCATCGTACCAGGAAAGAGAAAATACAAAAACTCAGGTTAGGGCCGAGATAACAAACCTGAACGATGGGTCAAACGTGGCGCCAACTTATTGATATGTGGGAAGCCGGAGCATGCGGGGAAAAAAGATGCGACTCCCCACAGGAAGGCCGCGAGCCAATATTCAAACCCCGCACCACAGAAGTGTGAGGCAGTCATGCTAATCACCGCCGGGAGAATAAACAGCTCGACTTTCAGCAAACGAAGGAATGGCAAACTGGGAAAGAAGCAATCAAAAGGTTAAAAAGGAGATGGCGGCGGGCCACGCTCTGATAGCGCAGCTTGAGCGAGTCATCTCGGTTGGGGGAATTGCATCTCCCGGAAAGTCATAATTAAAAGTTAATGCGGAGCAGCGCGGGGTCTTCTCCGAATTGGAAAAAGTCCATCCCGACAAGACATTGCTATGCGCGTCACTCGCCGCGGTGGCTTCCACACGGGGCTCTTTGCCGGGGAAGACATCGGGATGAGCGATTCCGCTTGGCGCATGGATCTGCGCATGGCTTCTCGAACCGCACGGGCAATGTTAGCTCGCGTCTTAGCGATTCGTTGAGGAGGCGGCGTAGTAACGTCCGATCAGATCTTGATCGGTGTCGGGTCACCGGAAACGGTGCGCCGGGTTGTTTAAATGTTAAAGAACGCTGGGATCACCGCGTCGGATATCTGCGGTGAACCGTGCACGGACTGTCGATGATCCCCGGCGAGAGATTACCTCGTCTTTCCTTGTTTTAAGACTCTTCCATCGCGGGAATCGACGTGCGTAGAATGTAATCCCCACCCAACTCCCCATTAAGCATGAGATATGCGTTGTGAAATAATAATGGTTAGATTGATCACGCGGGTCATTAACCTCCGCGCCGAGTCTTTTTCCGTTTGCGAATTTCGCCGGTTTCTTTCTTGGCCCCGGTGTCATTATTTACCTCGGTAGCGCCATAATCCATTTCTGTAATCGGTCTCCCGCAAAAACCCTTTTTCCAAATGCACCTGTGGTGTCATCCCCGTCGCCTGCCGCTTAATGTTTCCTCATCAGCCGCCTTGACAATAAAAGTGCAAGTGCTTCCCCGGTCTGGGAGGCTGAAATCACTCACGGTGGTAGCGCGGCGGAATCTTCATATACCGAAAGACGGATGATTCATCAAGGCGGGCCAGACTCTTGTGCCGCACGCAAAGAAATTAAATCTCACATCTCTTCAACGTCCCGTTTCTTCACTCTGAATCCTGTTTTTTTTCCAGGATGCTTCTGTGCCAGGCCACAGACAACGCTCTTGTCCTGTACATCAGCGGTCCCCAACATTTTTTGCTCCACGGGCCGGTTTCATGTCAGACAATATTTTCAGGGACCGGCCTTTAAGGTGTGGCGGATAAATACAACAAAATTCAGTGGTGCCTCGACTTATGAAATTAATTGGTTCTGGTAGAAATTTCTTAACTAGAAAATGTTGCAAGTAGAGACGCGGTTTCCATGTAAATGCCCTAATCCGTTCCAAGCGCCCCCAAAATTTAGACATAAAAGTGTAAAAATGCATCACAATATGTAACAAATGCATGTTTAAAGACAGAGAGCCTGACCTCCACTTTTCGAGATTTATGTGAAGCGACACGAAGAATCTTTTTTTTGTTTTTGTTTTTTATTACCCTCCCAAGAATGTTTTTGTTCCAGGTCACAGATCTGATCTCTGCTCAGGCGTGCGACAAGGAAATTAAAGCTCACGTCCATTTGTTCATCTACTTTTTGAGATTCAGGTGTCATGATAAGCGTAGAATCCTTTTTTCCCTCCCCGCACCAAATATTTTTGTGCCACAGCCAAAGGCCACCTCGAATGGATGAGTGCATTTTGATAAGTCTCCCCGGCCGGCGGTGTCGGAGAGGGATGGCTTCCTGTCAATAACGCCTGACCGGCCCATTGCCGCGGTCAAGAGTCAATGTCAACAAAGCGGCCCTGGTCAGTCATGACTCCATAAGGGAATCTCGGGCATTCGTTTCACATTCTTATCGCTCCGTCTTTCTCCGGAGGGAAAGTTGACTTCACTGTGGGATGATACCCGAGTGAGCTTGTTTTGGGGGCTTTTTAATCTCTCGCAGAGACGCAATCGATGTCCGGCGAGATGGCAGCGATTTCAGATACTTCTCCATCAACCTTCTCCCCCCTCAAGTGCTGCTTCAACTTCATTGTGACTTAATTTGTGTTTTTCTTCCTCCCCTTCCGGCTTGCCGTGTCCCCCGTGTGCGTATTTTCTCTTTAATGCTCTCTGGGGAATAAGCAACGGCGAATTTTATGATTATTACAGGCAGCTGAAATAGAACCACAGCCAAACTTTTTAAGGCTATAAGTTTATTCTTGGCGTGGTAACTCAGTGCGCCCCCACCGCACCCTATTACCTTCTTTTCTCTCGATTTATATTTGTCTTCCTCCCTGCTAGGAAAGTCTGATACCACTTTTTTCCAGATCTTGATTACTCACGGGTACGTGGACCGATAGAACTATTACTTTGGATGCATACAATTAACCCACAAATAAACAGTTTAAATGCGCCGGAGTTTGCATAAATGCTCATTTCAGCTGTCGTCCCAATAGTGCCAACTACAGGCGAGGAGGGCTTACTCAACATCAAATTTGCCTTTTGTATCAGCAGCTAGTATCAGCAGCCTGGATGAGTACAGGGAAACTCCTCTACAACGAAACCTCCATGGGCGAAAATACCCCCTAGTGTGAAAAAATCTTCATGCATTAACACCATTCCCACTTTCCTGCCCCCCCCATACAACGAAAAAAAACCCTGTGTATGTGTGTGTGTGTGTGTGTGTGTGTGTGTGTGTGTGTGTGTGTGTGTGTGTGTGTGTGTGTGTTTATGTGCGCTGAATTTGTATAATTCATGCAAGATGTCATCAGGGAATCTCTAGGTGACACAAAAACACGCTGTATGTGTGTGTGTGTGTGTGTGTGTGTGTGTGTGTGTGTGTGTGTGTTTACATCTGAGATCAAATTTGCTACAGTGAAAAACCCCCTGTTGTGAAAAATTTCTGGCTGCAAACATGATTTCGTTGTGGAGGAGTTTCACTGTACCCAATACCTTGAAATAAGGCTCGCATTGGCCCAATACGAAACCTACTTGCCCATCCTGACTCCCGGCCGACGAGTCGGTCCGAGGGGTGGAATGCTACGTCAAAATTCACGATTTGGTATGTGACATATGGTTTGGATGTCATTTCCCCGTTATTTTCTCGACTTCACCACAGACGGCTTAACCGACTACTCCCTCCGCCTCTGGCAAGCGAGTCGTCTGCTCGTATTGCTTTGTAACCCTCGACACTCTCTTGACTCGTTCTAGCCCGTAGCCTCCCGACTCTAAATTGTTCTGGCACGACCCGCGCTCACTTGAACTGCAGTCGACGGGGGCTCTCCGGTTAGCGATTATGTTGTTGATGATGGCGCTCAGCTGGCGTTCACATCACCCTGCGATGCAAATCCGCCTCCCTCACCACCCGAGAAAGAGAAGGGTAAAAGTGGATCGGATACACTCCGTTTCATCCATCGTGCCTTCTTAAAAATCAACTCCACACGGACTGTCAGAGCGACGCCGGTCCAGGCGGCGTCACGCGGATGTTTCCGCGCATCGCTCACATCAGCGAGAGCTGTGTAAACATGACAGGATCGTAGCTTTGTCTGGCTTTAAGTGGGGAAAATGTTAATGGCTTAATACGTTGCTCAGAATGGGTTCGCGAGAATGTGTGCGCGCGAATAGTAGACGGCAGCCTGACAGAAACCCGAGGAAGCTGTCAGACGCTCTCTTTTAAATCCGCAGCGAGTGAAGAAAACGCAGCGGAAGCGGCGACAATGACACCCGACCGTCTCCCTGACACCCACCCCCACCCACGCTACGATTCAGCCCACGCTGCTGTGGAAAATCGCAAATGGAGCCAGCAGCAGCCTCGCGCCAAACTTGTCACTCAAAAAGCTAAGGGGACTCTCCACCTTAACGCTCACTTAGAGCTTACCCGTTGAAAGAAATCTTTTTTGGGAGGGTTTTTGATATCTGGGATTGGGTATCACATTTTGGTGCACATTCAAATAATCATGAGGACAATATATCATAAAAATCCTTTCATTTTCATATGCTTATTACCCTCAAAATGCAAATGACATCATAGGATGTTTCATGACAATCTGAAGTTTCCAGAAATGATGATGACGTTTCATGAATTTGTTCCCCTGTGTGTATCTATTTGTGTGTGTGTGCGTTCACCTGGACAGATATCGTCCCGACGAAAGGGGATCTCGTCGCGTAGGTTTGTCGTAACAGTTAACCGCGTTCTGCATCAGCGCCAAGTCGGGCCTGGGCGCGGCCGCCGCGGTGACGGCCCGGCCAATCAGCTGCAGGGCATCGCGGATGTAGAAGCTGATTGGCTTGCGTCCCACCTCGCCGTACGCCAGCAGGCCGAGGGGACCCCCCAAGGTATGCAGGGAGTCCGGCGACAGCGGGTACCCCATGATCCACTGCAGGGCCGGCAGCGACGCGGCGAGCCGCTGGGCCACCCGCAGCACCGAGGAAAGACACTCCGGGTCCGAGCCCAGAAGAAGGACGCTGGAGACGGGCGAGGAGGCCCGCAGTAAGCGCGTGGAGAGGATCCTCAAGACCTCCTCCTCCCTCTGGTCCTCACGCCTCTCCTCGCTGGCCTCGCCCCGTCCGCCGCCACCACCGCCGCCGTCGTCGCCCGAGACCTGGGTCAGATTGACCACATCCCACAGGTGCCAGGCGGCGCCGCTGTGGGTCTGCATGTGGGACAGCAGGCCGTCGCTGCCCTCCTCCCAGCCGGAGCAGAGCACGGCCGCGGCGCCCCAGCTGCCGTCCTCCATGCCGCTCCGGTCCCGGTCCCTGTCGCTCCCGTGCAGGACGGCGAGCAGCAGGCCGCCCAGGGAAGACGGAGGCATGCGGGCTGACATCTGCAGGTGGAATGCGTTCTGGAGGAGAAGGACAGGAAAGAGAAATTGGAACATGCTAACAGGTCTGTTGTTGGTATCAATCGGCAATGTAACATTTTATTCTCAAGGACCCACGTAAAAAAACAAACAAACAAACAAACAAACAAAAAAAAACATAACGTATTTTCCCGCATGATAAGGCACACCTAAAAACATTCAATTTCCCCAAAAGCCGACAGTGCGCCCTATAATCCGATGCACCCTATATATGGCGTTACACTGTCTTTATATTCCCCATTGAGTTGTTTCCTTGTTCGTGTTCCTCTGCCATCTAGTGGTCACCTAAAAAGGTTCTGCCCGGCACGAATCGCCAACACACACTCAAACAGACAACTACTTTGTGAACTCTGCGCAGCTGTAATGAAGCGAAGACAAGACCAAAAGCAGAGTTAACTACGAACTAAACGAAGGAAGAAGGAGCCAAGCAAGACTTCTCAGGCTATTTAGCCCCTTGTGGATGTGAGCCTGCGAGGTTTGTGTGCCTTTTTGTTGAATCGGTTGTCTTCATAACTTTGGTCTTTCATTTATTGTTTTGTAATTTGTATTTATATGTTTCATGTCCGTGTTTGTGGCCAGTTCTCAATGGCTTTGTAGTAGCTGCAGCGGCTATGAAGGCTCAATATAAATATAGCTGTGTTGCATTGTATTGTATTCCCTTTAGCATAGCTCCATCTAGTGGATGCATAGCGCATCCACAGCCACTATTGTAGCTTCTATTCCATGTGCCTTATAATGTAAAGTGCCGCCCTATATATGAAAACACGTTTAAAATAGGTCATTCATTAAAAGTGCGCCTTGCACACACACATATACACACACACATACACGCACACAAAAAAATCTTCATTCATACATACATAACAGTTTCGTGTTTTTGCTGCGCGAATGTACATCAGGACAAGCTAACAGTTCGGAGCCTTCAAAGAGAATGTGGCCACTGAGCTGCTGGTCTTAGCTTTGAGCTCAGCGGTCAGCATGCTCCACTTCCAAGCGAGCGAAGTGTGTGAAGGCAGCAGGATCCTCGATGTTGCAGTGGTGCCATGACCCGGATTGGGAGGGAGGTTTCCGGGAGGTGAGTGTAACGTGCTGTGAGAATGTAGGTTTGTAAATCTTCACTCCTTTGAGCCTTGAAAGAGGGTGCCGGCCTGTGGACATGCAGCGCGGGTTTTTTGCTTGGTGGTCAGCGCTCTCCGCTTCCAGGAAGTGGTGGCGGCGTGGGTTCGAAACCCAGCAACAAGATCACGACCGTTACTGCCCACTTTCGGAACCCCTTATCCTCACTTCTGTTGCGATGACAGCGTGCTTGACATTACTCAAGCTAAACCAGTAAATTTCCACTGCGGACTTCACAGGATGAATCTCCTGAGCGGGTCCCAAAGACAAATCGTTTGATTGAAGAGAGGCGAGAAGAGGCTCAAAGAGAGACAGATTAATAGAGAAGAAAGCAGACACAGTGTGAGCTGAATGACATCGAATCACATTAACCGCGTCGTTTATGAGCACGGGTGGGGGAGGGGGGGCAAACAAATCGACACTTGCCGCAGTTGTTCGTCACGAGGCCTGACGCAAAACCAAACAATGAAGTCAAATGACTCAAACAAGAAGTTAATGACTCACATACCGAATGTTTGACATCCTAAACCTTTTTGTAAATGAGAGACCCCACACATAAGGTTGGGGGCGGGGGGGGGGGCATCGCGGTGTGTGCTTGCAGTTTTTATTGCATGTGGTGTGCTTCAGATGAGCGACATTGCACACCACATTCATAATTATGCCTGTTGTAGTACCAAAACTGAGAAAAATCCGGACCGCTGGAAAGTACGTGTGTATGTCCAGCGTTTTCTGTTTTGGACTTTGTCGGTTTTGAGTTTTTTTGATCATATTTAATATTTTAAAAACATTTAATATTTGCGATAACATTTTTGTTATCGCATCTTGTCTGTGTCTGTATTTCTGGGGTCGGAAACGTTATTCGGTTCATTGTGAACCTGACACTTGAGAATCATTCCGGAGTTATCAGAGACATCCAACAATTGGACCTTTGCTGCATTTGGTCGTAAGAGAAGGAAAACGATTATTGTTGGCATGTGTTTCTCCTGCTCCCGTTATCGTCAATCGCCTCAGGCTGTATTTGACGTTGTCCACAAACAGAAGGATATGTCATCAACATGTTTAACATTTATGACTGTCACACCCGCGACTGTTTTTTTGATTAGGTAGGGGGGAAAACAATTTTTTTTTTTAAAAATCACGATTAACACACCCCACACCAAAGGATAACCACTCAGGATAATCTCGAGACATCCTACAATGAGGCCTTCGCTGACTTGGATTGCGAAGAGGTCCATTTTTCATATATGCTCCAATTATTTGATAGATGGATGGATTTATTTTTATTCGGTAAGCTTCAGTCAGAAACATGACAGGGTGTACAAAGCTAACCGAAAATGCAGCTTACCGCGCCTATGTGCCCTGCTGCACAAAACACATTTCAGCAAAAGAAAATTCTTCAAAGCAGCAACCCAAACGTCACCATCTAACCGGAGGGAAATGAAGTCACGACAAGAAAAAAAAAAACAACCACAAGATGGGTGCGCTCCACTTAATCGTCACTCATTCCAATTCCTGTCCCATTTGCGGAATTTGTGACTTGGCCCAACTTTGGTGCTGATCGCACGCGTACTCATTTGCGATTGTAAATATTGATCAGGTTTAGCATTGATCAGTGTTGGCCGTGAGTGCTTTCCAAACAAAACAGGGTGGAGAAAAAAATACAAAAAAATTAAAAAATAAAAAATCTGACAACAGAATCGATCCAAGCCGTCTTCTGGCAGTAGGTTGGGGACACCCTGAACCGGTTGCCAGCCAACCGCAGGGCACACAGAGACGAACAACCATCCACGACGGTCGACGCGCTAACCACTGGACCACCCCGGAGAATCACCCCGAATAATAATTTTGGTCCTCCTGACAATCGGGACGAGGGGAAATGCGCAAATTAAAGCCCGATCGCGATGCGTGTACCCCTCTTAATCCGCCGCCGCCTCGCGCTCGGCTTGGCAATGGTGACAGCGGCGTCCACACTTCTACACCCCAGCGACAACACTGGCTCGTTTCATTCGCTTCCAAACGGGATAACACTGTTGTCCTTGAACGCAGCACACAGATGGAAGTCCTCCCCGCCCGCCCCCCCCTGCCGCCAACGCCGCCAACAACAACGCCTTCCTTTGGGGGAGGCTGACAATATTTCATCCTCTCAGCGCTCCGGGCAAGGTTTATCTTTCATGTATAGAAGAAGTCCAAAGTTCATCTTTTGAAGCCTTTGGATGACGGGATTAGCATGCGCCCAACGCACGGCAGCAAATGTCGGGGAACACGTTCCTCCATCAGCGTCCGCGTGAAAAAAAACAAAAAAAAACCGGCATGACTGAAGGCCCATGGTGGAGATTTGCCGCTTGCATCGACACAATACGCACGCGACTCATATTCTCATATGTCACCCGTGAGTCTTTAAAGATGAAATATTCACCCAAAAGTGCAGATTGGACACATTCATTCAAATGGAAATGTTCCACCTGGGAGTAAACAAAAGCAGCCCGCCGCCGAGTCTCTTAAGAGGTGAAAAAAAAAAAAGTGAGTGAGTGAGTGAAGTGTGCCGAGACACGCTTGATCGAATGCAGTCGGACGAATTCATTCTCACCGGGTGTGTAAATCGGATGGGACGAGACAAGATGGACGTCTTTGAACTCCGCCGCTGCTTCCGGTATTTCCAGTCGCCGGAATAATCAAATAAACGTATACGCGCCGTACCCCCCGTATAACATTTATGTCCCACGTGCTGATTTATGGCGCTCCGTGAAACGCTCGCAAACGCGCCGAAAGCTCACAGCTGCCGTGTAAAAAGTTAGACCTTTTAACGGTACCGATATACGCTGGTAAAATGAATGGAGCAAGGAAATGCGAGATGGCGTGAGATGAGATGAGATTTCCGGACCATAACCTTAAAAAAAAAAAAAAAAAAAAAAAAAATTGAAAAGGATAAAATACTGAAGACCTCTGCCAAGATTGACAAAAAAAAAAAAGAAAAAACAAAAACTTCAAAACATTATAATTGCTCCATTCTATCTGCTGGATCTGTTTGGGATCGGCTCACCTCTACGTCTCCCCCATTTAGGCCCTGTTGCAAGTGGACTGAATAACAAAAGTGATTCAGAATACATTTTCCCCATTGTTTTTTGCTTCTATTTTTTTCATATTGACGAAATATTATTTTGATATTTTTTATTTTTCCTTCTTTGCTTCTTCTTGGGACAGGCACTATTTGGGAAGAAAAGTTAAGGTATGTTGAGGTATATTTCTGTGCACCGTCTTTCTTTGTAAATATCTCATGTTACAATGTGGGCGCCTGCGGCTTATAGCCAGGTGAGGCTTATATGTGTACGAAAGGGTTTGTCCTTTAAAAATGGAGTGGGTGCGGCTTATAATCAGATCCGCTCTATAGTCCGGAAATTACAGTACACGTCGTCAAAAGGCGACAAACGTCATATATGTACGGCAAAACAGACAGACGCGAAATGCCGTCGTGGCTGAAGGAGCGCTAAAAATGGTGGCGAAAAGTGGGTGTGGCGAGAGAGGATTCCAGCACAATATCGAAATATTCTAGACTAAAATCACATACATTGGATGGTGATAAACTCGGCATGAAGGCTCATTGATGTGAAAATTGTCCAAAAAAAAAGTTGCTCACGCTTGACGGGTCACAGCTTTTACTCCAAACGGTGGCAAAAGTTAGCCAAGAAGCAAGCTGGTCGACGCTAGCTGAGAGCGTTCAACGTGGCAGACCTTCGAGCATCTATTTTTTTTTTTTTTTTTTTTTTTTGCCGCTCTCAGGTAAAAGTTCCATCTGCCTGCGCAAAGGCTCCAAAGGAAGAATGCAAGATAAGCAAGCGGAGGAGGAACGTCAGCATTATTCCGGTGTA